GTCCCAGTCCGGATCAAGAAACGAAAAAAGCCAAAAATCCGGAAGATCAGGCTGCGAAGGATCCGCCGAATCCGCTTTCCGAGCCCGAGAATCCCTCGCAGGCGTTTTGGTGGAAAAATAGGAAAAAAGTGATTTTTCAACGACCATTTACTGATGAGGAAGATTGAAAGATAAATATGTTAAATTAGGACTGTTTGTTAAAATAGAGTGAACTGCTTAAAATAAACAATTTTTTGTTGAGGAAAGTGTGGAGACTGTGTCTGGTCACGGTAAGGGTATTAAATCTCTCGCCTAGTCCCTGTACGGCGTTTTCCCAGGTCTTCTCGGGCAATGCACTTCGGTGACGTATCCGAGGCGAACGGGTGGGAAACGGCCTCACTTCTTCGCTCGGACCACGTGATCCGAAACGCATTAGCCGCGCGGAATAATGAGGCCTACAGACTAGGCAATGAAAAATCCTCCGGAAAAAGAAGACTAAAAGAGAAATTTCCTCGAAAAATCAGGGTAAAATTACTGTGCCTGACTAATTAGAATGAAAAGTCCTGGAGAAAAGTTTCGGTTCGAACTATCGCAAGGTTCGACTGAAAAATCGAAAGTTCGAGACTGAATGGGATTTTTGCTAGACTCCTTGTAAACACCATCATATAAAGTTATATAATGCGTTTTAAATATGACCCACCCCCAAAATAGCCTTTTATTTTAAACTGTTGTTTTGGTTTTCGATGTATCTACACTGTATCATATCTGAATGACCATCTAAAAAAGGTTGATTAGCTTCGATGTCGGGTGGTTCCCCTCCATTCTACTCTCTAGACCGCAATATACTTAGCCCTTTTCAGACCGTCGGGTTGGGGGATGTGTGAGTGGGCTTTTTGAGACATTCTCCAACTGATGGCAACCAATTACCACAGGCAGCCGAGAGTATCTTGCGAGCAGGCTCACTTTGGGCAAGTCATTCGGGGAAAAGTGTGGCTGCTCGAGCCGGCAAAGCAGGAGAGAGAATAAGGAGAGTAGAAGTGAAAACAAATCAAAACAAAATTAGTATGATATTGGCATTGATCATTGAACTGACTTAAAAAGCGTCTGACTATCGTGTCGTGTTTTGATTATATTTCAGTAAAATTCATATTAACAGGATAACCGAAGGAATATTTTCGAGTATTAGTTTTGTGGCTTTTGTAGTCATCTCTTTTGATGTTCCCGGTTGTAATTCTGCCCCAATATTTCCCGATACAGGCCTTTCTTTCGTTCAAGAATATATGTCAAAAGAAAAGAAACTAAGCCTAGAAAGCCCATTGCTGTGTTGAGGATGTAATCATGATGACCTGTATCCTAGAAACTTCATCATCCCCCCCGGCCAACCCCCCGGGCATCTGAACTTTTTAAAACAGGCCCGTTTAAATTCCCATTACATTAGCCCAATGTAGAGGTCAAATGCCCCTCCTGTTTTTCGCATGCTTAACTTTTTTAGATCGTGATTTCGAAAAATAAACTTAAGTGAATTTTCCAAACGTCACATGATGTTGATCGGCAAATAAACTGCAAAAATAAAAAAACATTTCCACCAACTGAAGAACAATAATTTAGAAAAAATGGCCAAAGGGTCAATTTCCTCTCTAAGTTATTGTGTTTTGTTGCAAGTAGTGCATATTGTAATTATGCTTAAGTTAGGTTCAGATTCAGAGTATACTCTAAATTGCTGGATATGACATTAATCTACGAGTGTCAAATCGATATCAGTCACAAGTAAGCGCAGCGAACGAGTGAGAATCGTATGGATAGGCCATGGAAACAAATTTGAAATAACAACAACGACAAAAATGTGGCTTAAAAATATCAATGTTTACAAAAAGAGTTACAATGGGAAAACAACTTTGCTTCCTTAATTATGTAAAGAAAAACAGCACGGACCAAGAACGCGAAACGTAGCGTGCATTCCTCAGGGGCACCCAACGACAATTTTCGGAAGATATCTGTTCGGAAGACGATTTGAGATCTAGAATTTTCGGAACATTTTTTCCAAAATTTCTTGCTTGTTTGCCTCTCCTAGGATTTTCGAACATCTAAAAAATGGTATAATTGCCCATTTTTAACGGATTTTTACCCTAAAAAGGTCCCCTTCAATTTTCGGGAGCCTTTTTTCTGGCTGAAATTTTCGAGTAGGTAAGTTTTGATCCCTATAATTTTCGAATCACTAGACTTTCAGCTAGGAAATCCGAACAGATGAAAAATTTTTAGGGGATAAAAATATGTCTATATCTACCGTTTTAATACTAAAATACGTTTAACAATGCTATGTTTAAGTGGTTTTGAGCTATATTCTCGTTGGGTGCCCCTGATTCCTCTACAAGATTAAAATTCTGTATTATCTTAATATTTAGGAAGTGAAAGTCTGTTTAATTGCGTCATGAATTAAAAGCAGCAATACAAACCCGAATTCAGTCACCCACTGTCACTATCGACTAGAAGGTTAAAGATTTCCACATGATTACTATAACCTCTTGAAAAGGTCCAGCAACCACTTTATGAAACAAAGCCTCTCAATAATGAATGTAGGCACTAGAGCCACGCCCCACATGGGTCTAACCATCACTTAGTTTGATGATGGCGTTTTCCTCCCAGGAAGTTTCTACGGGAATATATCGTAATACATGTCCTCAATTTCTCTTGTTCGCTTGTCGACAAAAACCCCCACCTTTGTTACGCTTTAATCCAATTTTCCTTGCAAAATATATAATTTCCTGAAGGATATATTATACCCCCTCTGAGCAATGTAGTACATACAGTGAACAAAGAGAACAGTACACACAATCGGCATCAACTGGTCGCTTTCATGAGGTAAATAACAAACAAAAACTACAAAAACATCCGGCCAATAAGTGGTCGCGGTCGCTTATGAGAGGTGGTCGTTTAGGAGAGGTTCTAATCTGATTATATGGCTTTGAATGGGAACATTTTAGTGTGTCGAATAGGTGGTAGCTTGTGGGGGGTGGTCGCTTACGAGAACTGGTCGCACTTGGACGTTTGACTGTACCATAGGGGTAATAATTGTATAAAATTTTTCAATGTCCCTGAGAACATCTGTACTGTTCTTATTTTCTAAAGATGGTCCATCCGGACAGGTTCGACTGTAGTTTATCGCTTTTGAATCAGGGTGGATTTCCACTGCCGCGTAATTTTTACGTGTGTACGTGACTGTGTAAAATTTACGTTCGCAATGTATGAAAGGTCTTGCCCGGTAAACGTAAAAGTTGAACCTTGGTCAACTTCACGTTTAAGCGCCACACTTCATTCCTTGCCTCTGTTATTTACGCCAGTAAAATTTACCTGGGAATAAACAATTTATGTTGAGAAAGTGTGAAGAGTGTGCCTGCTTATTGTAAGGGTTTGAAATCGAATTCAACAAAACTTCGAAAAAGCGATGGTACAATTACCATGCTTGACTGGGAATGAAAAAGTTTCGGCTCAACTATCCCTAGTCTCCCTGGGTTTGATTGAGAAATCGATAGGGTTTGAGTAATCGGGAATCTATTGTATCTCTTTTAAACATCAACCGGCTTGGTAGGGGAGGGGAGAAGCTGTTGAGGCCCTCTTTTCAAGCTATGGCCGCCAAATTTAGCAACTTTTCCTAAACTTTATGTGAGAACATTTTTACGTTACCTTGTGTGTATGTCAACATTGACGCTGCCATGACAACCGAGTTTGGACGGCCATGTTTTGCAAAATTCGCATTTTTCACTACAGACAGTCCAAACTTACTATATGGCGAGAGTAACGCATAAATTAGTCTACTGCTCCACGTTCTGCATGATAATGAGATCGGAAAAATTCAAAAGTTTGTATGTATATGCCACAAACTTTCTCATCATTCTTGCCACCAACTGAGAATTTTTTTCTTTCCTCTACGTTGTAATTAGAGGGCCTCTCAGGTGACCTGACTTGAAGCGTTTTGAAAGAGAAATTATATGTTTTTGTTTCTTTTTAGGGATACGGAATAAAGAATTCCGCGCTGTTTTGAATTCGGAGGTCGCTATAGTCATCTCTCTCTAAAATTCTACTAGAATACTAAGGACCTTCGACGTACCTTTAAATTTCAATGAAGGCCTCCTACAAAAGGACACACAAAACTGCCGTTTCCTGTTCATCATATCTGATCAATCACACAAGTTACTTTGCAGCACGTGTTTTGAAGACAAAACTAACATTAGCCAGGGATAGGTCGGGAAAGATTGTCCACAAACAAATACGTATGTCGCTGGATTGTAGGTTGGGTAAGGATCCGGTAGTAATCTATTCCCAGTGGACGCCCGAGAGGCCTGGGGACTCGAGAGATGAATTACGGGACATGCGATTCCGCAGGCGAGAAGTCGATAGGACTAGACCAAGATAAGAGAAAAACAGGGGGGAGGGAGGGTCAAACAAAGGAACCACAAAGCAAAACGGGTGTAGGCCAACCCCTCCCTCCCCACCCCCACAAGAGGCTTCGCATGAATCCAATCCTCGCTGGCAGCCAAACTGGACAATTTTTATTTCACACGAGTTTATTTATACAGAGCAAGCCACTCCTGAGAGAGAAAACGCGCACACACTCCTAAATAGAGCTTTCGCTAGTATTTAGTCAGAATATATAAGCCATTTTCGGTTATGAATGGAAGGGAGGCCGGAGTTGACCTTGTTTTGATACAAACCTTCCTGCTTTTATATGTAAATCATTCTTATCCCAACTAGTATTTTTGCAAGGACAATTTCCATAACAAAGCAAAGGAGGTTTGTATCAAAACAAGGTCACCGTCAGCCTCACATTCACTCGAAGGCCTAGGGTACTAAGTCCACGACAGTAATGTAAAATGGGCTATTAAAGCCAGTGGTCACTTTCGACGCCTGCCACATGCACACAGTCTTCTTGGATATTTCTTAATACCATTTCTTAAAATGGCCGTTCTACCAATGCCGGAGGTTCAGGTGGTACAGTATATTAGCCAAAATTGTATTTAAATTTTTTAAAATAATTTGAGATCCTTGATATATTCCGGCATTTTTATCAAGCTTCTCGTTGTGTTTAACACTGCCTTGTCTTCCTCCTCAGTAAATGACAGTTGACAAATCACTTCTTTCCCCAGCTTAACCGCTGACGCCACCTCTTTAGAGGTCTTTTCGGAAGTCTTACACGTGGTTTTGGGCCCGTAAAAAACCTCGGATCCTGTTGTCGGCCCATTTCCCTGAAAATGAAAAAAAAGAAAGCAAAAAAATGACTATTACAGTAACACGCCACTCGTGTAGAGACATCACTGTTGCCTTAATCAGCGTCTGAAATGGTTTTTTGTAACGTGAGTTAAATAGAATTTCTCCTATGTGCAGAAATCTTGACCCGAGTTTGCCTGGTCCCTAGGCCTCATTATTGCGCGCGGCCGATGCGTATGGACCACCTGGTCCGAGCCGTTTGTCTCGGATACGTCACCGAAGTGCATTGACCAAGAAGGCCTAGGAAGACGCCGTACAGGGACTAGGCAAGACCCAGGTAAGGGTCGATCGCTCATCTATACCCGAGCTCCCATGGGCGAACCAAATTTCCCTACACTTCTTACACAGAAAACTTAACCAAATTCGGCTGCTTACCTGGAAGGGTGACCCAGCTGGTTGGGTCACCCTTTATCGATGGTAGTGTTGCCCTCCTAGCCTAGCCTGTTCCAGGCTCCGAGATAGTCGGGTCCGTGGAATCAAGAAAGCGCGAACATGAGAATTTTTTAGGATGTTTCAAAGAAAAAAGTGAGCGAGCAGTTTATGAAATTTTCATCGAATGTCATATGCTTAAACTTTAAAATTTTATGGATTCAATCGATACCTTATTGATTATGTTTCCAGCCTTTTCACTCCAAATATTGCACAAACAATCTTGTACAAACAAGACGAAGAGGTGTTACAAATGTCGAATTTTGGTTACTTAGGTAAAAAAAAATAGTACCTATTTGAAAAGGCTCATTTCAATGATTTCACCAGAGATTTAAGTCCAAAAACTCAAAGTAAAAGTAGGTGCTGTGCGCTTGTTCAAACTTATAAATTACTTAAGTACTCCGCTGGGAGTGGCAAGATGTAAATGTATTTGCAGCTTACTCAGTGATGGTTTTGTCTTCGCGATTTTCGCCAGGAAAATTCCTTTTTGGGCGCTCCTAGTATACGAAGTAATTATTGGGGGTACATAAGTTTAATTTCTGGCCACTTTTTATCAAAAATATGGAACACGCTGGCATGAAAAAGCCAGCCCCTCACCGAGTTGTGAAGGAGGGTGTGTTACCTGTCAGGATGTAAACAGCTCGCTGAAAAGTTCTAGCTTTATCTCGGTGAATTCTGCATGCTTCACATCAGAGGACACAAAGTTAAAACGAGCCTATGAATCTGCCATGTCACATAACGTAGTGATAGTCGCAGGGTCGTTGTTAAATTTGATGTTTCCCACGCAGACGAGTGAGATGCTCGCCCAGTTCTAGCTCAGTTATCAGGGGTAAATTTAATAAAAGATTTGCAAGTTTAATTAACAAGTGTAGCTATTGCTTTCAGACACTAAAACAATGGGCACGCTTGTAATTTACACTTGCAAAACTTTTATTAATTGACCCAAGGATCATGTCAGTCAGAATATTTTCCCGCCGTCGACCGTCAATTTTAACTAGCACCTGGCCGCTCCCTACACCTGAGTTTTATCATCGGAGAAAACCTACAAAGTCAAATTACCTTTCGAGATCTTCTTCATCATCAAAATCTTCCTCATCACCAGCGCCTTCATCCTGCGTATCGCCTTCGTTTTCTTCGTCTTCTTCGTCTTCTTCGTCATCATCAACATCGTCAGGAGCGTCGTCTTTGCTCCGGTCGTCTTCAGTTCTCTCGGACTCGCTTGCATAACTCGCCTCATCCTTGTCCTGTACCTGGTCAACTGATTTTCTTTGGTCTTCATGTACATTTGAGGCTTGTGTTAGAGACACAATTAAAGCAACTATTAGGGCTATCGGAACAAGAGTCTTCATGGCGTTTTCTCTACTCACCCCACAGTAAGTTAAGCCGTAAGTAATGAAGGCAGCTGTGCTACTCTGAGTATGTTGCTCCGAAACTTCCCTTTATACAGAGGACTATGCGTTCGAATATTGATACTCCATTGAATATCAAAGTGGGCATCAAGTGCGTCAGTCCATAACCAATGTACCGAATACAATGATGACATCAACAATTTTATTATATACCAATAACAATACAATATACTAAACGGATATTGTTCCATCATACCTTGTCTTGGGCTTGTGGTTAGAAAACCCAAGGCGGGTTCAGTATTTTTATCAGGATGATCATCTTTTAAAACTGCTGTCTTAAACTTCATGAGTGTGACAGTGGATAAAGTCGGGCATGAAATGCTGCTTTTTGGCACACCGAATTAAACTAGCCTTCACTAACTAAATATAGACTAAAAGTTAACATTGGAGTTTTTATAGGGGCATGTGTCCGTTTCACAAATAAGGAAACTCTGTATACATCAGGAAATATAGTATTGATTCCGGTCCTGAGGAGTATTTGCTTTACTTTTTTGGCTCCTTGTTTGGCATGAAACGTTGCATGAACGGGCATGATGTGGTTTTTAAATAATTTGTCTCCTGTAAATAGCAACAACAGATTATAAAAATTAAACGAAGCTTGTAGGTTCGCGAGGAAAGGCAATGAGAAGGGTCTGAACAAGCCGCATGAAAAGGATTAAGTAATATAATCACAAGAGAAGAATTCATAAAACTCTGGAAAACCGTTCCTTGTGTTTAACAAAGATTTCAAAATAATTCTGGCCAAGAATGACCATTCTAAGAGTCTTTTGTAGAAACAGAGTTTATTGGAGATCGTTTGTTGAGCACTTTTCATTTGAAGTTTCACTAGGTACGAAAAGATCAAAGGCGAGTTATGTACTTAGCAGGGCCGGTTTAAAAACTCTCGGCTTCGCCTCGCGTTTTTAAACCTGATAGTACACTCTTGCGAGTTTTTTTTGAACGGCTTCAAAATCTCTGATATAGATCAACTCATTCTTGCACTAATATTTAGATTTAAGGTTATTTTGGTCTAAAAAATTGGTCGTAAAGTTTAGCCGTGCCTTTTTCAGATACAAAAACGCTCATGAAACATTAATTTCTTTTGTTTTCTTTATGAATTATTAATGAGTTTTTGAATGTGCACGTAAACGGAGAGGGGATTTCCCTTTTACGCTTTTTCCTCTTCCCTTCGTCCTGCCCTTTTTTGCGCGCATGCGCCTGCCACGCAGGCTATCCCCAAGCGTCTTACATCATGCTACATTTCGACGTTTCGTTTAGGAGTACATGAATTGCAGAGTTTGGTATCCATCTGGGGACTCGGGTGATTTATTTTTTTAAATACACAAGTGTTGCTTTGGGATGTGGCTCAAGAAAGAAAGAAAGCTATGAAGAAAGAAGCGTTATATGGCAACTTCTGTATCGGAATTGAAAGTACAACAGCACTTCCCTGAATACCTAAAATGGTAAATTTTGTAATTTCGATCCCAGCCCTTGTTCACATGGGAGGATTAATGTACGCTATGGTTGTCAGCTTCCCATCCACCTTCACCCTTCTTTTACTGCCTCAAAGGTTACTGCATTTCAGTCACTACAATTCAGTACATAACGTTACCAACGCGTAATACACTATTTACTGCTTTTAAAACAATGGGAACCCTTTTTTCTCCTGTAGTAACATCTGTATATCTGCGTTTCCCTTTCACGTTGTATTCAACTTAAAAAGACCAAAAGCAATGTCCTTGTGACATAACCCCCTTAAGGCACTAGACCAAGACAGCGTATGATGTAACAATATCCGATAGGTATATTGTATTGTTATTGCCATCAGATAATAAAGTTGTATTTATTTCGTTGTTGTTATACAGTTATTAGGGACTTTAAGATCCAACGACGCGGACAGCAACGAGAACGGTCAAATAAACAATAGATCTTATAAGCAAAACAACAACTTTGCACGTGCAGCACGTGTTTTTGTACATTTCTGTGCCCGTTTATGCACGACTACGACGTGAAAACGCGTAATTTAGGGTTGTATGGAGGACGTAAACATGCAACGACGAAATTTAATTTCTCTTTTTGTACTTGCATATGGTCCCTAAGAATTCAACTCCAGGAGGGCTCGCCTACATTTGACAAAGTAAGTGGGTAGGAATAATTGCGATCAAGACTGAAAGAACGTAAATTCACTTTTTGAGCGACGTTCTCATTGCCGTCGCGTCGTTGGATCTTTAAGTCCCTATTGTTGTCATTGAATTGCGGTTGTTGTATTCGGGATATTTGGTTATTATTGGCGCAGTTGAGGCCCACATTGTAACTCTAGTTTAACTAGAGGATCAATATACAGCAAGCATTTGATCAAAACCTCCTTTCCATAAAGGGCACTTACGGGGCTGTCAACTCCCGACGAGGACGTATTCAAATATTGAGAATTGATAGGAGAGGGATGGTAGATAACGTCATAACGCAGGGTGCATGACGTCATTTGTGCATCAAATACTCTCCCATCCTCATGAATTTGCGATGACTCAAAACGCGCGAAAAAGATGTTTTTGACCTGATTGGTTTGCTTCCCGTCAATCACATTTTTATAATGACATTCCGGAGCCATTTATGAGGAAACGTTTAATTTGATGTGAACATTAAAATAGCTCAAACAATAATAATAATAATAATAATAATAATAATAATAATAATAATAATAATAATAATAATGCAAAACAGTTGAAATTTTATTGTCGGAAGGTCGAGTCTACTGAAGAAATGGCAAACTTCGGTGATTATCCGGGAGATTTCAGACTCTAATCTGGAGACCGGGAGATACGGTCCAAAATTTGTAGTCTCTCTGGATTATCCGGGAGAGTTGACAGCACTGTACTTTCCCCTACCTGTCTTGCTGCTACATCTGCATATGAGCTTTTTCTTATTGACAGTCTATTGAATTTATTTTCTGTTATCAGAAGGGAATCTTTCTTTACTCTTTCACAAACCTATTTACAACAAATAGCAAACTTTGTTTGCATTTTTTCTTTATTAGCGATTGACACCCATATTTCTCACTTTCTAGAACTTTGTTTGTCTGTTTTCATTGAAGTTCGGTTTGTATTTCAGGACACAAAATTAATTCCATCGTCAAATCATGTTATTAAAAATAACCTCTACGGCCAATTATAAGCCGCAAGAATTCTTTAAATATCATTAAGAAATTTTGTTTATAGTAGCACCAGCCAAGTCCCATTTTCTCAAAAAATCCTTTGACTAAAATCCCCTACAGTTAAAGAGCAAACTTATTGCCTACTTATAGAGTTCTTACAAATCTCAAAATGAGACGAATCTTTGGGGTACTGCATGAACGCTTCTTTAAGAATCGCTCATTTCTTCACATATAATTTTGAACAGTTATTGAGCCCCAAAAGCACCCGGGCTGATTTGTTTTCATTAATCTCTCCAACCTGCTTTTCGGTATAAATTGAAAATAAGAAGGCTTTACCTTCTCTGTGGACGCGATTTTAAGGCATTACTGTTCGCTGTTTAACAAGTCCCTACTCTCAGGGGAGCAAATGTATTAAGTCGATCTTCTCTTTTTAGTCCACTCTCCATCTTGAGTATCTTTCACCATTATTATCCTAAACAACGAATGGCTATACCATTCTTTTCTACTAAACAAATAAACAATTTTTTGTATTGTCTATACTCTTATAGGCCATAGCTCTCAAGTAAACATGGCGCGAGAAATCGCTCAGTTATTGAATATGAACACTGCACAAACAGGCTAAGGGAGAATTTTGGACTGAAAGGCCATGGTACCTAAATATATAATACATCATCTTTAGAAATCACTGTATAAATAGAGTTAATTCATTTCTTTCATTCATTCATTTACGGTATTTATACTGGCCTGGTCGAGTTAACTTTACTGCAGGCGTTTCTGTTCAGAAACAATAGCTTAGTTCACTACGATAATCCAGGCTCTTTTACTACTTTAGGTGTGAAAGCAGCCCCATTGCAGTTCAACTGATGAGGAGTACTTCTTATCAACAACCACCGTTTGTAATTTAATGCACAACTCCGTTGTACCTCCCCCTCGGGCCCTTTACACTCAGCAATGACACCGTCGCAAAACTTGAACTCAGAGGGGGTAGAAAGAGGTAAAAACGTGCCATCTGTTATAGGTGTCTTGAGTCTTGACCTTGACTTTGACTCTGTTAATATCTTAAAAGAGCTGCTAGCCAGCTCAAGTAACGAAGGAATGATAGATGGTGAAGTTCGTCTTGAAGTTCTGTTGATATTATCTGTATTACAATCCCCATTTCTTTCTGGACTGTTTGCTATTTCCCTAACGGTCTGCGGACCAACATCTGCAAACCAATGGTTCCAAATGTGATATACGAATCGTCTGTGAAGGAAAAAAAAACACTTTTTTGACCCAAATTTTACAAGGGAAGGAATTCAGTTGAAAGAATTTCCGCTTAAGAAATATTTTGTACAGTTGTATATGTAGCTCCTCTCTCATAAACGAGTCTTCAATGCTCCAGCACTGAAAATCATGTTCAACCATAAAACATGATAAAAGGCACTTTACTATCAAATTACTAAGGGACATGTCTGTGGTTGGAAGTTTATTTCGATTTATTAAAAACTCCGCGAACCAGCTATATTCTGTGAAGAAGGATTTCCACTGTTGCGTACTTTTTACGCTCGCCGGTACGCTTTTATATTATTTTAGTCGATTTTACTAACGCACGTAAAAACTACGCGACAGTGGAACTTCACCCCAACATAAATAACAATCCCCGACTTGTTTGTAGGGCCAAAGTTAGCAGAAACGAGTCAACGTAAATTAGAAACGACTGAAGCGGGCGTCAAATTTCTAAAATAAAGAAGATAAAAATCTCACCTATGATACCACAAAACTTCATGTCCAGGAAAAGTTAAAATAAGATCAGTGATGAATTCCACTTCTGACAGCAGTAAATGAACAACCTCACCTTTTGAACTGAATAAAACATAAATGAGTTTGAGGCCTATATATTACAAAATGAAGGATGCACAATATTAAATATCAATACAAATTATACCCTAAAACTTTTCATGTAAAAGATGAGGGAATGCAGGAACGAGTGAGAGTTGCAACCTAAACTCTTGTAGTATTTGTTCGTAAAGAACAAACAAAGAGCATGGTTATAGTGCATTTATGACAGAAGAACGTGTTAGAATCCTCCAAAGCACAATATACTCTTTGTAAAGAAAAGAGTACTAACTAATGACATTTTATCTAGTAAATATTTTAGCTAGAGCCTAGCTAACGAATCTAAAATAACTGCGAACGTCTTTTTCAAGAGTAGTCAACACGCCACATTTTCAGGTGTCAGAGTAAAACAAAAAAATATGCAAATGTACACGGGAACACAATATTAAAAGCGGCACGATACAGACGTCTCTCTCCCTGATTTGGTTTGAGGGGAGGAGGCAGCTGTACACAGGCTATAGCGCATGGCTCGAAAAAAAGTCGCATCCAGTCATCTGGGACGAGAGCATGGATAGTGAAGGTGTTTAATATGCCAACTTCAGTTCCAAGGTAATTTGTTATCTAGAGCAGACATGAACAAAAGATTGCAATTTGACTTTTTTCTTTCATAATACATGTAATAATAGTAATAATAATAATAATAATAATAATAATAATAATAATAATAATAATATAATAATGTCTTTATTCGTTCAATACAATACATATCAAACATTACGTAAATTATAAAAAAGACTAATAAAAGTGCTTGACAGCTGATTTTCTAATGGGACATTTTTTTGACCTTTTTGACTGTCTTTTTGTGTTTGGACCTTTTTTTTTTCTCTTTAATAAATGCGTAACGAAAGAAAGATTAGCACTTTCACATATACAGTTAAACCTTGCTTTATGGACACCCGCTTAGTACGGACACCTCATTATTACGGACAGTTTGCTTTCTCCTTTAAGCCCTTATATGGACACTTTCTATGACCTTCTCAGTGTCCATATTAAAGTGGTTTGACCGTACAGAGAATGCTAAATTCACGACATCAGCCTGATTGAAATCAATAAATTGTGATAAAATCTCTGATAACTTTCTACTTTTAGTAAGAATTTCTCATAGTGCTAAATTGTATTCAAACTAAGCCCATTTAAAAAAACTACTTTAAAAATGTTCACTGTTTATATTAGGTAACTGACTAAAGCACACACTTAATGACTGCAAACATTTCATAAGATGTCTGTAACTCAGCGCTCTGTTTTCCTTCTTACCATACATTCTTAAGGTGTCTATGGAGGAGCTGGCGATGATGGAAACAGCAGTTATCAGAGATATGACTCTCTGCCCAAGCTCTGATGCCTTGAAGTTCACTAAACAGTTTCTGAGGTAAAAATAGAAAGCATAAATGAACTAAGAACGATGTATGACCACATGCATGTATAAGTCAGAAGAGACAAGAGGAACCAAGGTTCACTCATTATTAGCTTAGAACTTCCCTTCTTTAAAGGATTTTTCTTCCTCAGTGTGATATGGCAATCAGAGAGAGCTACAATGTATATAAATATATTCATAACTTTTCACTCCAAAAAAAAAGGAAACAAGGGTATCATTTGACAGGGAGGGGTGGGTAGGGAAGTAAAGAAGGAAGAACAGCAACTCATCATCCTAGGCCTCCTTTGATTTTTGTGAGATGATGGGAGAATAGCAACTGAACCTAAAAACGTGTGTTCCATCTTTTCAATTTGATCACCTGAAAGCACAGAAAATATTCTGAGCCCCAGATGAGAATCCAAGTCATGACACCCTAGTTCTAGACTGGATGCTCTAACCACAGAGCTACTGGAACTCTATGACGAACATGGTCAAATCTACTGATGTCCCTTTAATTTTCTGATACATTTCATATGTTTTTGTCTTGTTCTAAAACACAGTACAGTGGTCGTCCTAAGGGAAATATTACCCTTTATAATGATACTTTCCGATTATAATCAGTTATCAATCAGGTGGATCAATCTGAATTAAACTCAATGATTGATTAAGAAATCTCAGCTGATTCCCAGAACCCAGGATAAGGTCAAGGCCCTGTTAGGGTAAAATTCTGATAAGCAACATGGCCTTGAAACAGCAACATAAGACTAGATTAAATGGCCACAAACAACATAAAGATGGGTTAAAAATCAACAGGTACAGGCCTGCTTCCCAAACTGCGAAACAAACGTATTTGAAATTTAGACTAAGGACATACATACCTGCTTAGGACATGTTTCATGTACTTAACCCTTCAAACCCTAACATCAACATCTTGGGTGATCATGTCTATAATTCTCATGACCACTCTGTTTGACAAATCATTTGTATTGCAAGGAGAAATTTCATGCTGATCACTATTAGGGCTTAAAGGGTGAAGAAGTTTGTGTGTTAGACATGTATGAATTCAAATTACCTTTTTCTTATCATACATGAATCGATCCACCAGCCACGCCCTGTGACTCCATGCAGTGTAGTTATCAGCATAACACGCAGCAGCGCGAAGGGTGATAGCCAACTCAGTCCTTAAATAACTCTGGATAAATTCACCCTGTCCTTTATGCTTCCCAAGTTGAACTATTGTCCACCTCCTGAATATAAAATAAAAACCAGATCATGTATTCACTTCAATTTGGATCACATTATCATCACTCATCCTGAACATCATCATCATCATCATCCACCAGCAGGGCCATAGGGCTCATGCAGACTTGTGGCATAAAGGAGGCAAGATCCGTGATCACCAAGGTATTAGCTGCACAAGACCAACAATTTTTTAAATCAAGAAGCTTTTATGCTAACAAGTTATTTTCAGAATAGATTTTGACATAAGGAACATGTATCTCTTCAGAAAAATCAATATTATTCAACTGGTGGTTTTTTTCTCAATTAAATGTTGTCTTTTTTCATTTGTTTGTTGTTTTGTTTTTATCATTATTTTGAATTAAAACCTTGACGAGGCAAGTACCTTGTCTTGCCTCTTGCTAGCTAAAGCATTTACTAGTCAATTAAGAATGGGGGAATAAGTCTAAAGTCCATCACAACACTGCCATGAATTTGCTGTAAAAGCTGCAGCTCTCACCTATGACTAAATGTCTCTGCACTTCTTGGGTGCTTTGAAAGAACAACACCTGAAAACTTCCAGTCATCAACTAAATTCAGGACACCAGATGTGATCATTTCCTTCCTAGTCACCACAAAAATAAGAAGAACAAATTAAGATGGGGTAAGGAAATTATGAAGCAACTTTATTTACAATATTGAACATGCATATTTGACAGAAACAAAAATGAATAAATAAATGAAGGAATGGAGGAACAAGTGAAAGAATGAATGAAAAAGGAAGGAAAAAATGAATGAAAAAGTTCAGTAAAGGTCTTGATATCCACCTCTGTAGCAAATTAACCAGGATAATATTAAACAAAACCAAAAACGACAAGCTATTAATCAATTCCATTTTGAATACAGGATCTGTAATCTGAGGATTTTAGTAGGTATCATCGTTATTTAAGTAAATATAACGTATTACCATTAATTGTTAAGTTGATAAAGAGAGTTATCATTTTTTGTAAATGAATGGACGAATGAGGGAGCGAACCAGCAAGAGAGTGAGTGAGAACTCAGTGACTGAATGAATGAATGAATAAATGAGTGAGTGAGTGAGTCAGAGAGTGAACAAATTAATAAATTATAAATAAGCTCACTGAGTAATAAGACATGTAAATCCAAAATAACTTTAGTCATTCAAATGGAAGTAAAGAAATGTTGCAAGTTGAGGCAGGTCATCAGGGAAAATTGTGTGATATCTTGAGGTGACTACATAAAAAAGGAAATTGGCAATGGTCAAGCTAAGCCCAGACCTTGTCTAAAAGTTAAAAATAATTGGTATCTCTTAACGGGTAAAAAAAAACTTTGGTTTGACTTTCAAATAATAATAATAATAATAATAACGAATATTTATACAGGATAGCCCTTCAGTGCAAGAGCACTGTTATCAAAGGGGTCCTGTCATAGTAACATAATATAAGGATAAAAACTAAAATAAGATAAGAATGACTACGCAACTAACTAACTACACTATACAAAAAATTGATCTAAAGACTCCCTAAATAGTATCCTACAGCTAATTTGCTTGATTTTTAAAGGTAAAGAATTAAAAGCTGAAGCGCCTAAAAAGTAAAAACTTTTTCGAGCAAAGTCAAGTTTCACTTTCGGCAAAGCAATGGTGGTCCCGCTGTTCCTCGTATTAACATCGTGGATTAAAAGATTAAAATAATCTTTGAAAGGACTACAAACATTGCCTTTTAAGGCAATCAAAAACAAATAAACAAGGAAGCCTTTTTCTTTAAAAAAAAAAAAAAAAAAAAAAGCTTGTGATAAAGATTACACTAGCATGGTGGGATGTGCTACTACAGTCTGTAGCTCAAGGCTAATCAGTATCCTACCTTGCGTTCCAAGCTGTATAACACTCAGCATTCACCAACAGAACAGCTCTACTCAGTTGAACAGATTCTGTGACTAAAAATGGAATGCAATTTGTCATTTGATGATTTATTACAAAGAAAACAACTTCCATAATGCTTCAAAAACAAGCAGAAAAATGTAAGAATTTATTCCAACGTAAGATGAAAACAAAACTAAGTATGCCACTATTTTGGAGTAAAATGTACAAGTATTATGCCTCAGAAATAAAAAAAAAATCACCTGATAAGTTACAGTCCTTCTTGCCTTTAATACGACTCCTAATAAGCTTGTTATAAGCAAACAGAAAAAGAGGTTTAATACACCATGACTTGATCCCAAGCTTATGGCTGACAATAATAAATGGATCTTCTTTCTCATTATTGTGTTCCTCTTGACAGTGCATACATGGTATGATGTCAATTTCATCACTGAAAAAAAAAAAGCATATGAAATTAGGAGCTAGCCTGAATTTCAGAATTCCTTCAAGTTTGGATAGTGGCAAAAAAGGGACCTTAAAATACACCCTTTCTTACCGTATGGGTACGGATAAACAAATATGTTTTTCACATAGCTATATAAAGGGCAACCATAGTTTACCAGATGTGGTAATGGTATCACAGGTCCAACAGATAGCCTAACCGTTTCTCTTGGGTAAGAGGCAATCTACCAGTATTTACAGCCAGTCGGGTACAGGTAATTTACCCATATCTGTATATGGAGACTTTGTATGTTAGAGTCTCTAATGAAAACTGGCCATGTAACTTCCTTGGGTGTTTTTGTAGTATTAATAAAACATCAAGGTAAAATTGTAGGTATGCTACTTATTGGGAAAACCTAAAAATAATAATAGTTATAGTTTAGCCTACAGTCTTCATTTCTATATAAAATAATTTCTGTCATTCTGACCACAGGCCGTATAAGCTCCCGGCTTTGGCTTTACTGAGTTTGTACTATATGAACGATGGAATAATAAAGTTAAGTTAAAAATAATGACAAACTATGGCGGCCCTTTTCTCGGCTATGATTCTTTTTACGTTTCAGTAAGATAAAAGGCTAAAATAATTTTAAACCCCAGAAAGCGCGCATGAATACATGTAGAGACACGTTCAGTGACGTGTTATTCAAGTGATGAAATGAAAAAGAACATGTATAACTTCATACTACCAAAGGTCACTCGGAAATCTACCCACATCTTAAAACATTCAATTCATAGTATGAAAAAAACGAGGAGGAAAAACATAAGTTCAATGACTTACATTTCAGGATCCACGATAAAGGCCTGGTTTAAAGAGCAGAATAACTTTTCTCCAAGGTCAACAGAGCAACAAGTGGCCGCCATCTTTGTTATTCTTTAATTGGTAACCAGGCTTTAGGGACTTTGCTGCCTAGCTTTTTGGCAAAATTCAAAATGGCGGACGGTGCACGCTTTCCAGCAGCACATTTTCAGTCTCATAATCAGCACAATTCGTCGTCTTTGCCCACTGAAAATCCTTATTTTCAACCCAAATATCCAGGAATGCCCCCTAATTCGTTTTCACCCCAATCGAATCACTCATTAACGAATTTTGTGCGAGGAAATTTTCCACAAATAATTCCAAGAGGAGATGTCATGCATTCTGATCTTCAGTTCCCTTCACGATTCCCTCATAACCACATCAACTTGCAACAAGAAAAGCATCCAATGGCCATACAATCATCGCAGATTACAAGACATCCGTTACCGTCTGGTCAGTTTATCAATTCAGAAAGACAGCTGGCAAACTCAAGTCCTAGCAATTCTCTAGCTTTCCCTCCTCTTGGACAATTGCCGTTTCTTCAAAGCAGCAGTCAAACAATGAGCAGTGATATCTCGCAAATGGCAAAATCGTCTTCATCTTTTCCATCTGGTGGACCACAACTATCACAGACTAATTCTTTTCAAACTACCATCCATGGACCAGTGGGACCTGTGCAACATTTTCCGGAGACCTTTCCACCCTCATTTTCAGGGCCCATAACAGTACCTCCACCACTAACACTAACACCCATGCAATTTCCCCCTCCTTTGCCAGGCAATTTGTCAGTACCAACGGTGCCTTTGGCCGCATGTTCTGCTAATCAACCTCAGGTCAATGCAGCAGTTACAGCACAAGAGACAACAAGCCAAGGGTGGATTAATCAGTTTTTAAGAGAAAGAGGACTTGTGAAACAGGAAAAACAAGCAGAGCCACACAGCCATTTAAAGGTTTACCTTTTTTAACTTTTAAAACCTGTTTCACAGGTGATAAAGGAGTCATTTTCTTTATATATGATTCCTCAAAGAAAATGAAAACTTTCATTTGCATGTTGGCGAAGACTGGGAAGCATTTCATGTAGATTGTTAGGTTGTAGGAAGTGTACTTTTCTTGATTTGAGTAGGTTTATAAGGATCTTGGCTCATGCTCTCCACTGGATTCACCCTGTAGCATTGAGTGATTGTCAAAACAATGAGCCTTTGTTATGGTGGTTGTGTAAGATACCTTTCTGGGATTCAGTCTTGAGATTTTACACATTTATACGTTCATCTTCAGGTGAAAAACAATTTCCTTGGGACTAAATTACACTTGCAAAAGTTTTATCAAATTGACCCCGGGTGTCATTGGGTTAATAATTAACCCAACAACACCCAGACAGTACCAGCATCCTACATTTATCTTGGAAGCAAAAGCTTGTGAATTCTTAACCCTGGATTGTAAAGAAAGGCGTCCTCTGCAGGAGGTATTAATATTCTTTGCTTATTGTTTTGTTCTTTTATATTTTTGGCAGTTATATGAAGCTAAACAGCTCATGACAGATTGGCTGCAGCTAATTGCAGAGTTGTCACTTCAGAGAGATAAATTGGCTGCACTTGCTTCACATCACAATGAAATGGAATGGGTAAAAGAAATAAACAGGGCTCAAACATTAAAGGTCAGTAACTGATGGGAAACATTGAAACCTTAAGGAATAATTCCCCACCCTTTACCATAGCTCCTGCAGAGATGCCAGAAAATGTAGTTGCTTGTGAAAGGTCAATGATAGCCAAACTCTGACATTTCAAATAAGGCAGAATCTAACAGAGCAAATTAAGAGGCTCAATTATTTCTTCTTATAGTCCCTGCTTAATAAAGCATTATAAAGTCTTAAGAACAAAGAATGCTACACCAAAGGAGGAAGCATCTTAATTTTATCCTGTCACCGGCATGTGAAAACTGAACAGTGTGGCAGAGAGTACATTTGTTGACGTAAGATCTTAAAGAGAAGTGTTCATCTAGAGAAGTCCTGTTGTAATGGTGGTTTTTAGAGGAAAATTGCCATCTTGCATTCTCAGCTGACCAGAAATTAGTTGTCATTCTACAAAGCAAAAGGTTTAAAGCTTGATGCTAGACTGAGTAGAGAAAGCGACCCTTAGGTTGTAAAGTAACTGAAGCGGAAAGTTCTGCTGTGCCCTCTCACAGTCAATATCCGCTCATCTCCATTGACTATAATATAAAATTTTCTTTGTTAATAGTATTTAATGATTTTGATACCACCACTACCACTGTCGTCATCACCATTGTCATCATCATCATTATTCTTATTGTCATTATCATCATCATCATCATCATCATCGAGAGCAGTCACCATCCTTCTTTTGCAGTAATTGGGCCGGTATTCCCTGTTTATGTTTGTCTTGTTTAAAAACCTTTACAAAATCTTATCAAGAAACTTTTTTTCTTCTGTAGGCTAGGATTGAACAGATTCAAGCTCAGTTTTCCTCCTCTGAAGAAATTAATCATCTCGAACAACAAGCAGTGAAAAGAAAGAAAAAACGGGTGAGATGAAAGTAAACTTAGTTGGTTTTATTCGGCAGGCTATGGGTACCATATGTTAATAGTTTTTCACATCCTTTGGAATTTCACTTTGTTTTGCTAATAGTGTAAGTTGGTTTATTTTTTAGGAATGGCAGAAAAAGAGAAGAAAAGAAGAGCATGCGCTGAAAAAGGAAGCTGAGGAGAGAAAGAAGGTTCTGCATAAGAAAATTGATGAATGGAGGTCACAAATAATAGCAGAGGATCAAGCCAAACGAAGAGTAATCAATTTACTGTTACTTGTTTATGTTTGTTCACCTTTTTAATAGTCTTTCTCTTCCCCTCCGTCTGGTGTCCTCTGCAGCGTGCAAAGAAAGTAGTGTCTGATAGCCCAGGGCTAGTGGATTTTGCTATCGGGCTAGTGAAATCTGTTTTTAACTTGCTCGACGGGCAAGTGATGTTCTTTGACGAATTCGAATGACAGAAGAAGTGTGAAATCAATTCTGCTTGACGAAAAGCTTCTGGGGCTAGTTGAAATGACGTCTGGGCTAGTAAATGCTAGCTTCAGCTTGCCCGAATGGCAAGCTGTATAAATGATTTTCTTTGCACCCTACTCTGGCTGATTCTAAATTTCATTTCTAAAAAGAAGGTAAACCATTGTAAAAGGATCATCAAAGAGGTTTCACGTGGAAAGTCACACCATAAGGTTTCATCCTCAGACTCAAAAATTACAATCAGGCATAGCAGAGCGAGCAAATTACAAGAGTGCATTTGAAAATTGCCAGCCAAGGGGGAAGCAACAATTGGAGGAAAGAGAGAAAGTATTTCACATGCTTGGCTATTATCCTTGAGCTTTTAAACAAAAAACACTGAGTGTAAATCCATCTTTTTGTAACAAAACAGTAACGACAACAACAACAAAATACACTTATGTGAAGTATACTTTCTTAAAATACACTTAATGAACTACTGCATTATATTAGCCTACACATACGTATTAATTGCTTTCTAAATGTATTTATAGGCCGAGTTGATGAAACATGAAGCAGGTGGAGTACTGGGAGAAGTGAAGAGGAAACAAACAGAAGCTACAAAAGCTCTTGACCTCTTAAAGGCGTTGAGAAAGCTACGGGAGGCCAGAAAACAAGAAGCTGAAGTAAAAGGTGATTAGTGCAACAATGTATAAGAATATGCTTCATTCAGAAATGCTTGATGAATGGCTATCCAGTGGACAAGTGTTAGGTAATTGAGTTAGACACTGGATAGAGATTCATCAAGTAGGTACCACTATCCACAGAGTACCCTGTGAACAACTGGGACTGGGTTTTACCGAGTAGCACCAAGTCTTGACAACATTTCAGAATGAGGGAGCGTCGCGAATAGGATTCGTAGGAAGTTTTCGTTCTCTCTTCGCAAAGAATTAAGTTGGAGAGTTTTAAGGTTAATTTAACCCGTTATCACGCAAAAAAACAATGCGCCAGTAAAGTGTTGAGACTTCACATCCTACTAGAAGTGTCACCATCAGAAACCAATCTCCAAGCATTATTCGGCCTTTCTTGCAGGGCGTTTATCAAAGGAGAAGCCCAAAACAATTTTCCGGGCGAAAGCGTGTGCGTTTGGAAAGTTTGCTTTGCTTTTTGAGATACCAAAACTAAAAAGAAAACAGGAGGCCATAAAGACAAGTTCACTTTGAAGCTCATTTTGAAGCATTCTTTTAGAGAAAGTTCAGCTGCTATTTTTCAGGAAGGACGAATGTCGCCGCCAGTGTCTATTTAAACGCATTTTTTTCGTTTGATCTAGGCGTTTATGTCAAGCCTACTGAAGAAGAAAATCGAAAGTTTGATGAAAGAGTGAAATGGCTGGAGAATGTGATGGCTCCAAGACGAGAATTATACGAGGCGGAAGAGAAGACACTGCGAGTCATGCTCGCTGAGGAGGAAGAAGAGAAAGAGAAAGAAAGACGGGAAAATGAAAGAAAAAATCAAGGTACTGGTCCTTCTAGCTTTAGTATAGGCGTGTGTATACTGATGTTATTTACCTATATATTTCTGTAACTTCCATGGAATGCACAGATTCCGGAATAAAAAAAAAACAGAAGTTAATAGTTTTTGAATAAAGCAAAAGGACGGACGAAGATACAGACAAAAAAAGGTTCTTCTGTGAAGCAAATTAAAAAAAGGTCACAATTTGTAGACCTGCAAACTGTAATAATAATGAACCGATCAAAAACGAAGTGAAGGTCGACCTGATCTTAAGTAACGACTACGGCGACGGTAACGAAAACGGCAAAAAAGCAATGGGTGTAGATCAACAAAACAACTACTCTGCACGTGCATCACGCTTTTCTGTGCATTTCTTTGCGGTCACTGCACGGCTACGACGTGAAAATGGCTAAATTCATGTTTTGTGCATGATGACGTGAACACACGACAAAGACTTTCTTTTTATCCGAGAACTTCGATACAGTTCCTTAAAATTCAACTCCAGAAAAGTTTGCCAACATTTCACGAATTGATCGAGATGGAATAAGCGCGATAAAGTTTGAATTTGCACGAATTCTGGTTTTCACTAGCGCATAAGCATAAGGACATACTCGCAGAATTGCATATTTGACTCAATTCTCGAGACCAACTCTCCTCAACCCCATGATAAACAATATGGCGGACGAAGCGTCCGCCATATTGCTTTTGATATGTTCGCATTAGGTCTGGGTCAAAGTGACCTCTGATTGGTCCTTATGTCGACCCAGTTTTCACTTGCTTCCACATGTGCTTGTGCTTATGCTTATGCTTATGCGCTAGTGAAAACCAGGCTTTACAATTGTCACTTCTGTCATTACAGGCTGCAGCTGCACTCCAATTGGCCACTCCAGAAATACCATAACATACCATAATGGTCTTTGTTTGTCACCCCAAAAATTTTGCATAAGCATTGTCTTCAGTTTCTCTTGGGAGTTAAAATGGCCCCAGTTGCCCGCAAACTCTTATGCAAAATTTTGGGATGAGAAACAAAAAGTTATACGAGGCACTTATCAAGGCTTGCTTAAAAACAGTTGCCCGTATCTCATTGAGAATTATACGAGGCGGAAATCAGGGCTTTAAGCATATATTGTCAAAATATCTGTTCTCGCTTACAATGTACCCTCACTTGTTCTCTTTCTTTCGTCCAGCATCTCTAGGATTGTCTGACCCAATGGACTGGTTTCGCAGCTATTACAAACAAGGCGAACACAGTGTACAGTCCTTGCTGCAAATAAGGTACTGCCACGAAAAATGTATCTTTATATGTCGTAGATAAAATAATTTCTCAAGTCAAACCAGTGTTCAACCTAGTTTGCCCGCAACCGGCAACGGCTTGACTGTCGGTAGGTTTATATGTACTTTTATTTCCTGCTTTAGTTTATTCTCCTGTTTTACTTTCTGTCTACCTCGTATTTCCAGCCTATTCTTTCGTGGTAAAAATTTAGAAAAAAAATGCCGCAAAAGCTATCTTACTATATTTGTCCGTCATTTTTAAAGTTTTCGAAAAAGTAGACAACGCCAACATTGTAATGTTAGATGACTTAGCTAGGGAAAGTGCTAGGAAGTGTAATCTGTTGGTAGTCATGAATTCAGTGATGGAATTGTATGCAGGATGCCGTGCCATGCATGTTGTTGACAGTGTTGATAGAAGAAACTGGCCTGCGAGTATTACGTGTAAATTGTTCTGTTTTTTTTTTTCGAATTCATAAAGGGGGTTTTAAAAATGACGAATGTTTTCCGTCTTCTAGGCGGCAATGGGACGCTTTCTTGGTCCCCGATACATTCCCTGGCGCCTCCCGTATCCCTGATGGATTTGTGACTCCAGCAGAGCCTTCATCGGATTTATGGGCGACAGCGATTATTGACAAGGGGTAGAAACAGGGACAATAAGTACAGTACCATGTTGGTCCAAAAAATTCAGCGCTTTTCTTCACCACATTCAGCTGTGGCCCGTCGAGAGCATCCAGCAGCAACGTGACGATTTGTTAAAACTTCACGGGCAAGTGCTACAAAGAGGAATCAGGCTGTGTAGTGGAAGTGAAAATAGTGACAACCAAGGCCTCCAAGGAACATTGAAGCGAACATTACGAGACGTATCTCTTTGTGAACTGTGAATTGCAATGGCGTTCTATTGTTGAGTGCGATGACACATTGTTTTGGTCCAAGGTATTTGCCTTCCAAACTAAATGTAAGGGCCTGTTTACATGGAGTGGGGGACCCCGGTCTAGTGGGGTTGGTTTCTTTTGTTTTCACGCTCTGGGGGATGCAAAACAAAAGAAACCTACCCCACTAAACCGGGGTCCCCCACTCCATGTAAACAGGGTCTTAGATCGCCGTGAACGGAATGTTGTCAGTACCACGCCTTCGTGACGAGATGATTCAGTATTATATTTTTGTAGCAGCGTACCTATCTGCAGGTAAAGTTTTATGAAGAGAAAAAAAGTAAAACAAGAACGACAACAACAAAAATCCTGGTGTCTATAATGCATACCGGTATTGCAAGGATTCAGCGCATAGGAGCTACTTGTAATCTCAGATGGTTTTTCCATGTGCCTTTTTGCAGAAGTGTTCGAACTTCAAGTAAGTAGTCGAAGTTAAATTATCGAAAGAAAAAGAAAGAAAACGAATACTTTAAAAAAACAGCTGGGTTTGTTTGTTTGTTTTTTATTTTAATCATTCACTTAGGACTTTATAACACTTTTTTTCCCAGAGCCCTCTACGGTGACATGAAAAGTAATTCCATCTTTTGAGTCTGTGCCGGGATGAAATCCTGTGCTGTGACCTTTCAAAGCAAAATTCTTTACCAGCACTTTCACATGGTACTATTTACTACGCAGCAGGCTCTAACTTTGGATTCTGTGCAGCGTGCAAAGAAAGTAGTGTCTGGTAGCCCGGGGCTAGTGGATATTGCTATCGCGCTAGTGAATTCTGTTCTATTACATAAGAACTGTGTTATCAATCCTGCTTATCAAATTGAAAAGGTTTTTGGAGCTAGTTGAAATGAATTTTGGGCTAGTACATGCCAGCTAAAGTTTGCCCGAATGGCAAGCTGTAAAACTGACTTTCCTTACACACTGCTGTGGCTTACTCGAACCTTTCGTTTGACGGTTGCTTGCGTTCCCGACCAACGCATATATATCAGGTTGTTTTGCAGTCTAAGCTCTATTGCCCGGTTTTCTGATATAACTTTACAAAGTGAGATTTAGAATTTTCTTGGAAGTTTACATGTAAGTCTAAGAAGTCTTGCTACAAATTGTTTGCAAAAGATTGGAATGATTTTAGCTGAAAACGTATGACTTTGAATTCCTTTACAGGCAACTGACCTTATCAACTAAAATGATGAAAGTAATTTTTCGAGCACTTTATTATCCTCTTCCCCATTTAATCTTATTGCAAACAAGACAAATTTGATCAAAACCATCTGTCGAACTTTTTTACACTTGTTAAGTTTTGTCTTAAATCAAGTGTTTCCGAAATCAGATGGGGGTCAGATATAAGCTTGATAACAACAGCTACCTAGCAACGATTGAGCTTAAAAATAAATAATAAAGCTCTGTTTTTCCAGGGCTCTTTGTAAAAAACTAGTCGAAATTGATCCTTGCGTTTTAACATTAGAGCCGGTTTTCTTTTTGGCGTTTAACAATTTTATTTTTGGACTGCGTCACTCGCTATCCATGGCAGAAGGTAAACAAGTATAAGCCATTTCTACCAGTCTGTCGCTATATCGACTTCACATTTTGCAGCATTTTGTATAAGGGTTTAGTTTATTTATTCATTCATTGTTTTCTGGCGGCGATTACTGAGACAGTCGGGTTCTCATATGTTTAAGAGACCAGACAAGGGCGGACAATTATAAATTTGCAGCTTTATTTCAACATAAGCCTCATCATAATAGGGCAGCATTCATCTCAAAGGAAATCCTTTAATATTTTTTTTTTCTAACTTGTATAATAATTATCTTAATCGTTATTTAAAAATCGGACGGCGAATTAAGTGGTTAGGTATTTAATTTAGTTATCGGTATTAGCGTCGATCAAGATCCTCGACAGTTCTACAACCGTATTTAACTGCGCCAGTTCGTTTTATCAGGATTGAACAAGTGATGGCTTTAAAATTTAAATGTCTCAATTTGATATTCTTCGCACGCGCAACCTGATTTTTTATTTCAAACTAAGATATCTGTGATATTTAGTATATAGACTGGATTGGATAGTTATCGCAGTCAAAGACTGAACAAGTCGAAACACTCTTACTGTTTCTTGGATACATAACAAGTGATCGTAAAAGGGAATGGTAATACAATTGAAGAACTACTAATTCTTTTTTTCTTTAAATAATGATATGATAGATGACTGAAGAACGCGGAGTACAAGCCTGCGTTTTTATTTTCCAACTATACTAAATGACCTAAACTGGTTGAAAAATCTCTTACATTAGTAAGAGGGAAGTATTAGAGTCATTTCCTAGTAATTGGACAGTGTATAGTGAAGGTTATGCTGATGAGATTGCATTTTAACCGAAAGAAAACAAACTTAGGTGTAATCTGCTCGAACAGCCGCTCGCCAGTGACGCACATGTTTTGAGTTCGCTTGTTTAGTGTACAATGTTCCCAGCAACGACCAGTCTAAACACTCGCTCCTTATTTTATAACTAGGACAAAGTATCAGTTCAAATGTGTCCCCATCAGTCAACTTGTCAAAACTCTCCAAATGCCTCTCGAAAACTCCAATAATCCTAATAGAATCGTTCTCCTTCACTGAAACTTTCTGCACCGCGACTTCGGTGGAGTGGATGGTCAGCGAACGAGATCGCAAACGACTCAGAGGCGAAAAGAAGTCACTGCGGTCCAAGAAAGATGAACCGTGTCCAGAAGAAAAACTTCCAAGTCTTTGCTCGTGAAATTCAACCCTCGCATTAAAATCCCGGTGGCGTTTTACAGTCGAATCGCCTTCGCCTAAATCCTTTTCTCCCTGTTCCTGAAGCGTGGTAAACAAACAGTATGTTCTTGCGAATCCCTTCTCTTCTGACTTGTAAAACTTGGGCACCAAATGAACACGAACCTCTCTGTTTAGCGGGAGAATGGTTGGTGGTATCTCGTCTGTGTCGTCTACAGCTAAGTTGTGTTTTTTCTTCGAGTCTATTGATCCCATCTGTGTTCCGTTTCCGCAACACCTCACGGCACAAGTTTCTTTGAATTCCTCAAGTTCAGTTCCGTATGCTACCACAAGAATACTCTTAATTTCGCAACTATTCCGTTGCTAGCATATTTTTTGAATTATAATTGTGGATCGTTTTAAATGCCCCTGCCACCTCATTCCATAGACATTAACAATTTCAACCGCAACTGATATAGTGTTTAGAGCGGAATCCGCGTTAGCGAGTGTCGTTCATTGAGCGGTCAGTTCAGTGGTCTTTTCAAGTTCAAAGCTAGTAGAACTTCGAGCGAATAAAATTCAAGGCACTCGAAGTAATTTATAAAAGCATTTCTTGGACTTGCGGCAGAAAAAAAGATAATAGCTTTTTAAGAAACTTCTTGTTTAAAGGTTGCCGACCTGAAATTAAATCAATTGACAAAAGATTTCGTAAACAAATAAAGGTGCCGGAGCGAAGTATAACACTATTATAATTATTATTCTATTGTGATGATGATGACAAAGCAATATTAAATATGTTCTTCCAGTTTTCATTGTTGGGCAGAGGTGAAGTCCCGGGGGGGGGGGGGTACTCAAGAAAGTTTTTGACACAAAAGGTACCCCTTTTGTATAAATTCTATTGACAAATGGGACCAATTTCACATACCTAGTTTAGAACTTTACATCCCTTTCAATGCAGTATCTTTCAAATATGAATAAATCACAAAACCAGACCGTTTTTTCGACTTTTTCTCAACTATAAAAGGTATCTGTTAGCCCTTTTGAGCCTTTTTACCGGCCGAAATGACAGATTTCCCAACCCTTTCATATAATTCAGCTACTGAAATCCCTTCCCTTTCATATACCTGAAGCTTAAAAAGGGTACCCTTTTCGGGCGGAGCCTCCCCGTATGGGCCATTAAAGGGAGGAACCCCTTGGGGCGAAGTTAAAAACTGGAAGCACAGGTGGCACAGCCAGGAGCCCATAACTCGGAGCGAGCAACTCCTATACAAGGCATTTTTACGGACCAGTTTATTTTTAGACACATTTTAGGGCACTTTTTCCCGCGACTAGATAGATGTCTACGAGCGAATTCGAAGTATAAGATATCAAAAGGGAAAACTAAACGTTATTAAAAGGCAAAAAATATCATTTTTAGGTCTGTAGGTTTTGCTGACTGGTTTGTAGAATTTAAAAGACATTCAAAATTCTCGCCAAAAGCGTTGTAAAAATAAACTGGTCCGTCAAAACGCCGTGATACGAGCGCGTGGAAGTTGCTCGCTTCCGCTTATATGGGCTCCTGGCCCAGCGTAATATGAGAGTCTGAATGGGAAATAGAGTTTTTATGGCAATGAAAACTTACATCAATTATATGAACTAAAACGGGTTGAAGTTCTCAATAAAGTATAAATATTAGGGACTTTAAGCAACGACGACGACGACGGCAGTAAAAAAGTCGCCAAAAAAATAAATTTGCTTTCCTTCAACTTAATCGCGTCTATTTGTAGGCTCGATTTCCGCCGTCTCCCGGGTCCGGTCTTTGATCCTCCCCGAAGTGCGGGCTCATTTTCCCGAACAGCGGCTGGTAATCGAGCCTAGTCTATTTGGACCCGCTCAATATGTCAAATGCAGGCGACTTTTCCTGGAGTTGAATTCTAAAGGATTTTATAAAGGTTCAAATTCAGCAGGAAGGAAAATTCGTCGTCGTATGTCCACGTCCTCCATAAAACGTCAAATTAGGAGGTTTCAAGTCGTAGTCGTGCAGTGGACATCAAAGAAATGTACTAAAGAGCGTGATGCACGTGCAGAGCTGTTGTATTGATCATTAAACCTATTGTTTTTTGAAGTTGTCGTTGTGGTCGTCGTCGTAGTTGCTTAGTTACCTAGTGTCGTTGTCTTTCTGTCTACGAAGTTTCAGCACGATTTGAGCCAGGGTTTGAGCACTGTAACATGATCTGACCTCCTCAGACAATGACACAAGTTTGCATTGGGCAGGTAGAAGGCGCAACATGTAAAATTTTGTCGCAAAAAGTAGAACTATACTCCAACTACTTTCTGTAACAACTTTTCGCAACCTGCAACAACCTGTTTATTGCAAGACAGGTTTGATGCATGCATCGGTGGTAAAATGTGCAACATCCGGTTATTAAGTTGCACGTTTTTGTGGCCCGTTTTACCGTCACATTAGGATAATAATAATAATAATAATTAAAAATTTATAACGCGCCTTTTCCATGTAAATATGATCAAAAGCGCGTGACAACACGTAAATGTTAAAAGAAAATAAAAGCTAAAATGAGCAAAATAATTAAGGCTAAGAATAAACAACGCTAAAAATTAAATAACGATAAAAAACACTAAATATATTACATAGTAGGTTAAAAAAAATTACATATCAAAAGCTAGTCTAAAAAGATGCGTTTTAAGTAAAGGAGAAATGTGTCAAAAAAATATGACCAGAAAAAAATTAATATGCAACAACCAATTTCGAATTCTGACGGCTAATTCACAACTTTTAATAGCCTGTTTATTATCTGCCAGTTTCCCCCTGCTTACAGAGTTACAGTTGCCTTTACAGAGTAAATAAGGCACTCAAGGGTCATCGCGGCTGTAATATAATTTATTCGTTTTCTTTTGTTTTATGGACTATGGTCAGGGCTAGGTTCATTTTTAAGGATGTTTTGGTTTTCTTTGTTTTACGTCAACTGTGAGTAATAAATTATATTATACCAGAGATGAGACACTCAAGCACTCAAGGAATCATGACCGGTTGCCCGCACCCTGGCGGCAGCTCCATTTACAAGGTACATTATAATTCCCCATACATAACGTACCTATCTGAAAACCAAGATGGCGGCCGCCGAGCTTCGAGCAGCGGGATTAATCGTATTTCGCCGGAAACGCTTTACAGGACCTTTCGAATACCTTCTTCTACAAACATCTTACGGAAGACATCACTGGACACCACCTAAAGGTCATGTCGATCCCGGAGAATCGGATATACAGACAGCTCTTCGAGAAACTGAAGAAGAATCAGGACTGAAAGAAAGCAGTTTGAACGTCGTGAAAGATGTACGAAAAACATTGAATTACGAGGTGCGAGGAAAGCCAAAGATTGTAATTTACTGGCTTGCTGAATTAAGGGACTACAATACGCCCATACGGCTCTCTCACGAGCACCAGGAGTACAGATGGGTGTCTGTAGATTCCGCATGTCGGCTGTTACATGACACCACTGGACAAGCATTGCGTGAAGTAGACGAGGAACTGAAGAACATAGCAAAGTTTTACACGGAGACATACTAAGAATGTTTTCACCTGAAGCCATCTATAAAGTAGCATTTTCATATGCCTATTGAAAGTGTAAGGGGTGGGGAGGGGAAGTGACAAGTTATTTGTACTAAGGGAGTGGGGCAAAGGAAAGTGGGCTGTAGCAAAACTGCATTTTAGAAAGTGTGGGTAAAGTACACACAGCCTGTGCAGTTTTCATGTTACAACAGCTAGCGGGACAAGTTTGTTTGTAGCAATGGAGCAAATATATCCCAAATAGGAGCCTCAGATCACCTGGGAGTACACTGTCCAACAAGACTGACTGAAGGACACAGTTTTAGTACTTGTTAAAGGTACCACAATGACATCGAACACATCCCTTGAAAGAGCATGTGCCACTTTGTCACTTACAGAAAAACTTCCTTCTCAAGGGCAATTTTTTTTAGACTCTCAAATTGTGAAATCATCAAAACACAAAATTTATTTTAACGTATTATTTCTGTTCAGATGTTAGAGCTGTTAGAGGCCTGTCTTAAGACATGGTCAAGGCAAACACCATATAGACTATGTATGAGATGAACATACATGCAACTATTTAATAGACTCGTTAACAAGATTTATACTGGTTTTGCCCCCTTTGGTGTTCACCCCGTTTGTGTTTGACCCGTGTAAAACTTAGGGGGTGAACTCAAAACTGATTTTGCATGAAATAACATTAACTATTACAGTATGTCTAATGTTATCTAAACGGTCAGAGAGTTTGACCCTTTATTTTGGGTTCATTCACTAAGTTCTATCGTGTGTAACTTAATATGAAAACACATAAATAATTACCTGATAATTATTACCAAAATAAAGGGTTGAACTCGAATGGGACGAACTCAAAAGGGGGTGAAACTGGCTGAATCCACTAATATTTATTGGTGCATTTACGTTTAATAATTCAAAATAATTTTAACTTTACAAACTGCCCTTTCAAGGGAAGCCATTCAGCATCATAAATGCAGCTTTATCAGTGTGTGAAGTCACTGAACAAGCAAGCAAGCCTTATTATTCAGCTAAACTTTAATGCACATTTTGCCAAGTGAGAGAGCAGTTTTACTGTGGTTGGGGCACATCCCACCAATGATCCCATTTCCAAAAAACAGAATCTGTCAATGTTTCTTTTGTTACACCATATCATCATCAGAAAAAGGATTGCTTGATGATACAGGCAGTTTTGAATCTGGACTTAGGTACATGGTAAATAATAAATAAATAATAAACAAACAATAAATATTTTTACAATGATCCCTACTGCTCCCTGAACCATTTTCTTAAAACATCTTAACTAGACTTCTTTACATGTAGGTGATATGACAAGATGTTTTGAATAATTATTTGGTTGCTTCCTCAAAAACATTGCAGGGCTCATAGCACATGGAATTCCATTTTAGTTTTCTCTTTCAAATAATAATGTGATACATGCTTCTTGTTTACACCTTCTAGGCTTGGGCAAACCACTTATGTCCACTTTGACTCATTTTCAGAGGCATTGTTCGGTGTGGAAAGATTGTGATGAGGTTTAAACAAATTAATTATTTAGATGGGATTTGGGTCAACAGTTCAAGGCTGTAGAAGAGAGGTGGCCACTTTGGGGAGATGGGTATTAACAGAGTTCCAAATTTATTACACCCACACACCAATTTATTATTACAACTGCATGGTTTGGATATTATCCTGTTTGCGTTTACAGTGGAACCTTGATACAATGAGTTTCTATATAACAAAGTCCTCAGAAGAACGAATAATACTCTATGCTCCAGTGACAGTAAAATAAATTATATGAAAAAGAACCTCGATATAACAAAACCTCATTATAGCAAATATTATTTAGCAAGTCCCTTGTTTGGACCTTCGTTATATCGAGGTATCACTGTACACTATTATTCTGAACATCTTAAAAGTATAGTTTTAATCAAACATGACTTTGGTTTTTCTTTGCTATACAGTACAAATTTTAAAAAAATAGTGACACCAGGAAAAACTCAAACCATAAAAAAGAACATTTTGTTTAAAAATTTAAATACTAAAGAAATCTTGCTTCTTATTGACCAACTTCCTGTAGAGTCATTGTGAGGGAAATTTAGAAAGCTTTTCTTGTAAAGATGCAATACAAGCTGCCTTCCTTGTAAGGATGTCGTTCAACTGCAGGATGTAGTCTCTAAAATCCTGTGTAATGTTAAATATAAAAAAAATTAGTTGACATTCGATGCACTTAAATAAGTGGCTACCCAACCAAAAAAACCTAGTGGAACATCTATTAATAACATACAGTCAAACCTTGTTAATATGGACACTGAGAATGCCATAGAAAGAGTCCGTATTAAGCCAGTTGAATTTAGAGAAATTGCAAGGGCTTTCAATCCCCGGGGGCAAAGTAAACTGTCCGTAATAATGAGGTGTCCTTATTAAGCAGGTGTCTTTAAAGCGAGTTTGACTGTATAATGCAGAAATCCTGATTTAACCACTGAATGACCGGTGTTCTAGTAGGCAAGTTCTAAAAATCAATAACCTACAAGGTATTTTTTAAACTGGGAAGAACATCAGCATGAAAACTATAAGTGAGTTTTACAAGTGAGAGAGTAATTTTCATCTTTCCGTAACAACAAAGGTGCAATGTGATCAGAGATTTTCTGAGTCCTCCTCGAACTTGAGATCATTGCAAACATTAAAAAATAATGACAATACTTTGCTGATTAGATTTTCATCTAAAAATAATTCATCTACCTTCTGTCCACCGTTAATTTGTTTTAAAAGCACCATTTCCTCCTGACAAAGCCCTGTTACCATAGCAAGCTGTGTGTGGTGTGATGCCACTAACTCCTCTTGAGAAAGACTCAGATGGGATTTGTCCTGTTCACCAAAATCCAAGGACATATGAACCACTTCCCTGCATAAAAAAAAAAATTAGATACGGTATCAGATGACCAGTCACTCTGAAAAAACCTTCAGTTGTGTTACAATAATTAGGCTGTAGAGGACCTAACTACGTTATTTTCAATTACATAATAAACAAATGCAGCTGTGTACTTTGGGTGCAAAACCAGCTTCAACCAGGTTATGCAAATTCCAAAAGAACAACAGATTTTCTTAACCGGAAATGTTTTCTAAAACCAACTTGCTGTGCAGTTTAAGGCAGGTATGATAAACATTAGCAAAAAAAAAAATTTTATAATCTCTACCATGCAAGCTACTGATACATTTGCAAAAACTGCTCAAGAATAAATAACTAGTTTGTTGAAATAAGAGGAGATGATAATAATTAAGTACAGTCAAATCCTGCTTTACAGACACCCACTTAATACGGACACCTCATTATAACAGACAGTTTGGTTTGTCTTTGGGGAAAGAAAGCCATTATATTTTCTTTAAATTCAACCCTCTTAATACGGACACCCTGTTAATATGGACACTTTCTATGGCCCCCTTAGTGTCTGTATTAACGGGCTTTGACTGTAACCATTTACCATAGTCACTTCAATTTCAATGCCTTTTTTGCTTATTATTTTATATCAAACAGTGCTATAGATAGGCAAGAGCCTATTTCCAAACTTGGTCAAACAGTTCATGCTAACCTGCACCCTTTATTTCAAAATCAGGACAACAGATTGTATCCTAATGAAAATTCTCCAGGATTTGTAATGGGCAAACTTAGCATGGTGCAGATAATGAACAATTATTGGACCAGGTTGAGCAATATATCGTGATTTGTCAGTGGCGAGCAGATCAATAAATATTATTTGCAGAAGTCAAAGGCTGAGGCAAATGATTGATCTGCGAGACCCTGATAAATCACGATATTTTGTGATAACTGAGGTCAATAATTGTTTTATTATTTGATCACCAAGTTTGTTTTTTGGTCAGCGAAGCGATCTGCCATTTTCATGCAAGAGCGATCACAAGAAGGAGAAAAGCGTGGTTTCATTTACACATGAACAGAATATTACTTGTACCCAAACACAGTAGGTGGGCTCTAGGCCAATGAAAACGAAGAAGAATTTGCTATGAATGGTAATATCTATTGCCTTGACACAAGTCATTCACATCTACCTAACAATTTAAAGCACAGGAGCTAAGTCTGTTACTGTACAGTACAAAATCAGAACCTGGTGGGCTTGTGAATTCCACTGGGTGTTGGAATCAAATGAGGAGCTTTGAGTTCATTCCTAGTTGTTTGAGGTTCAACAACTTTGGGCTCTTCCATACAAGTGTTCCCTTTACTAAACAGCTTTGAAAGTCTAGTTTTGATGCCATTACCATAACGATTGTTTCTTGATGGTGGTGAAGATTCATTTAATTGCTTGTCTGCATAGGACGGCTTTTGAGTATTTTGATGCTCTTTAAAAAGTTCTTCAGTAGAGTTGTCTCGCTGAACCACTTCTGGCAAATGATTATAACTGCCTAATCTAGATGCTGATACAAATAAAACATCTGAACTCTTATCACTCTCTTCACAAGTTGCCTGAACCTCTTGTGGCATTTCTTCACATTTTTCTTTCAAAGTTTCAGTCAATCTGTTAGATTTTGTACGATTATCACTGGTCTTTTGTTTTGATGCCCTTGTTTTGCTCTGCATCCTGCTTGCCAGAGTTTTTGCAGTAATTACATCTGGTGAAGTTTGAGGTCTAGATGTATGTACCGGCACTTTCAATCCCTTTTTAGTATTACTACCAAGAATGCTTCCAGGTGAACTAACTGGTATATTGTTTACTGCAGTAGAGTCTTGACCTCTAGGTGACAATATTGTGTTTGAAGATGAAGTGTTAAGTCTTAATGTTTTATTAGTTCCATTGTTACCAGTCCTGAGCTTCCTTAGAGGGCCTTGGGGATGTTCCAAAATACTATTAACCTAAAATATGACCAACACAGAAACAAACATCATTTATTTGCTCCATTATGCATGGCCAGTAAATTCACATGAAGATAAACATCAAAGTAATGATCATTTGAATATTCTGATGACATTTGAGATTTTTGCTATTCTTTCATGATCTCTTGGGATAACACTTTGAAAATAACAAAATGAATAACTACACTTTACACAAACATAATATTTTGTACCAGCTCTTGCCTCATGGGAGTTGAAGCCATGGAATGGTTAAAATATAATAAATGAAAAACAAATTACCCAGCTGTTTATACAAATTACAAAGAACCATATGTAGAAAAAATTAACAATTCTGGAACTTTCACTACTATTCAATAATGCACCTTGGGATGTTTTTGAATACCTGAATTCTGGCCACTCCTGGTAAAGCTTTGTTCTTGTCTTCACAGAACAGCTGGTCTTTTTCAGGCATAGTTGCAGGTACAGTCAGTGGTCGAGGAGCTGATGGCGAGGTGACTGGTATGCCTTTTTTCAACTCTTTCACTCTGCAGTATGTGTCAATGAGGTGAATTAGTCAAAACACACAAAACCAAACCACAAGTTTTTTGACTGGGAATTTTGGCCAATATGATAAGAGAACTGGCACCATCATTTCAGAGGTTTCTACGTTAAGAATTCCAGTAAAAGAAACTTGCAACTGGAAAATATGCCTGATTTATATTGACGAGATGGGCAATGGTGGAGGTTATCAATGACATGATAAGATGAGGAAACAAAAGAATGAACAAATAAGTGGGAAAATGCATACAATTATTAAGTGGTTTTAAAGAGGTGTCTGTTCTGAGGAGGTGGTCTGAACAGGTCTAGCCCTGACCGTACATTCACTCAAAACAGTGAAGGCCTCCATGCAAACTTCCCCTGCTGGCTCTCTTATTCCTTTTTAGAGTAGGATGTTTTTGCACACAGCCTAACTACTGTAAAATTCTGAAAATAAGCCCCTCCATGTATAATAAGCCCCCAAACCGTTAAAAAAACCCTCCGGATCAGGGGCTTGTAAAAATTAATCATAGCTAAATTTACAACTATAAGGAAATCTTTTTGAAACAAAACTTCCCTCCGGCACTTGTTTTTGAAAAATATAAGGGACACAAAAAAGGATTACCAAAAATATCCTGTATTTACTTATATCCTGTATCTACTTATATGAGCTTACCTGTCAGCATATCTGAGTGTGTTAAGGGTGTTCTCACTGCAAGATTTATTGGGTGATATAGTGGCTATCATACAAGTCTGACAGTTTCCAATAAAGGAATCTTTCAGAACCTGTGTAAAAAATGAGATGAAAAGTACAAAAGATTATAGCATGTGAAAATGAAATTTTATATTTGTAAGAAAAACTATTTTTACATTCATTGAGATAAAAAAAATCACTCCGCCCAATTAGTAGATAGATAGATAGATAGATAGATAATCTTTATTTATCCACGGTACAAAATTCGTCAGCTTTAAAAATGCCTAATACTAATATAATAAAAATATTTAAATAAAAAAGCTGCTTTCCACGAATGCCGTGCCTTACAGTTCTTTGAGTAGTCGTTTAAATTGCCCAAGGGACTCTGCTTCCAATTACAAGGAAGACTGTTCCAGAGGCTGCCCTGTTTTGTAGCTTTTGAACCTTATTCTGTAAGGTTATCCCACAGTTTCCCCAAACAATGTTGCAATAATCAAAGTGTGGCTGTATTAAAGCTTGATATATTAGTTGTAAGGTCGCCTGAGGGACAAGGTGCCTTATTCGTTTTATGGCCCCATACCAGAAGCGACTTTCTTTGTTACTTTCTCGATATGGCCACTCCAATCAAGTCTGTCATCGATGGTCACTCCAAGTGATTTTGCAGTAGTGACCTGGCTAACTTCAAAATCATTAATTGTAAATGTCGGGGACTCTGTGAGAGTACTTAGCCTCTGCCTAGATCCGATAAGCATAAATTCGGTTTTAGTCATATTTAGAGTAAGTTTGTTTGCTCTCAGCCAATTGTGAACATTTTCTAAATCTTGATTTAGATGCAACTGAATATTGTCTGCATAATATTCTGCTAATTAATGTCAACTATTGTTAGTGAGGTTAAAATGAATATTAAATTATTTAATAGCTACCTGAGTGAGTTTACTTTGACGAAATGGCGTGTGTTTTGAATCCAGATCCAGTGCTCTGATGCATTCCTTTAACTTGAAAAAAGAACGAAATATCAGGGAAATTTGTATATTAACAAATGCATAGAGGAGAATATTTTTTTCAAAAATAAATTAAATATTGAATGTGTTCTTATTAACATACAGCTAACAAACTCTGGTTAATTTCAGCTCCTTCCACCCGTGTTTGCTTGTCAGTATCTGTGACATCAGCTGCACGCTCACATCCAGCCAAGTCAATGAATGAAAACCTGTGAGAATAACATGTATAGAAGGAAATAAACTTTCAGCAATGTATGTGGGACTCAAAATTCTTTGGAACAGAGAAAAGACCATTTACCAATAAAGTGACAATACTCTGGGACATGCCAGTCCAGACAGACAAAGAGATCAAGGCAAACAGGCCAGACAAGGTAGTAAAAGACAAGGAGAAGAGGACCTGGCTGCTCATTGATATGAAAAAAAACACCTCTTTAAAACAGTAGAAAAACTTCCGAAGTACAAGGATCTCAAAATAGAAATCGAGAAACCATGGAAACTAAAACAACAACTGTCCCAGTGGTCTCTGGTGCTCTCGGCCTTGTCAAGGAGCGGACTGAAAACTACATCAGAAAGATCCCAGGAAACATCAGAATAACAGATCATCAGAAGATTGTACTCCTTGTGACTGCTCACATACTCAGGAGGTCACTATCCATCAAGTAATGAGACTTTTCATGGAATGAACTCGGTCCCATAAGAGGAAAGAGCATGACTCCAATAATAATAATAATTATTATAAGAAGAAGAAGAAGAAGAACAATGATAAAATATACCTTCCAACATGTTCCTCATTGCGTATAACTTTTACATCCAGTTGTAAGATGGCATGTGATCTTGAAGAGTCAGAATTAACACCAGTAGCTCCAGTACTTCGTACTCCCCCACCATATTCTATAACCTGCACAGAAACAACTTCGTCAGTTGTTAAAACAGGTGTTAAAATTTGTTATGATCTTGGAGATCACTTTTCAAGTTAGTATATGCTCAGTAAAAGCTCAAAAGCATCCAGTTATAGAGTTTGTATTATTGTTATCATTATTATACCTCCATCAATTCTTCTACATTGTGAACATGCCGCTCAGTCAATCCAGCTATGCACACTTGGTGATTGGCATCTTCTCTTGCAAATAACCTGCAAAACATATAGAAAACATGTAACACGGCTGCTATGAAAGGCTGTCTTTTGACTTGTTTATGTAAGTACAAGTGCAAGCATATTGAAAAGGGAACATTTGCCATTTTTGAACAGCCACCAATGTTTGCATTTACATTGAGGCAGTTTGAACATGCAAAAATGTATTTTCTTTGTTCACAAAAAACTGGCTTAAAGGCCAGTGCATGTATGTCAGCAAGCATGGTGCTCGCAATTTGCTTTTGCATTTTTCTTGCTGTTATTGTGTGAACCACCTTAAGAAAATCATAGGCGTCAACAAAACCTGGATCACATCAATCCCTGTAAGTAACTAAGGGCCTGTTTACATGGAGGTGGGGGACCCCAGATAGGTGCGGTAACATGCAGCGGGTCATCCCACCTATCATGTAAACGTGATCAAATTAAAATTAGAGATTATGTGGACAGGTGGGTTACCCACCAAAGCAGGTTACCTCACCTACCTGGGGCCCTGAATGACAAAGGCTGCTGTTGGCATGAGGTTACAAGGGTTGATCTGATCCAGTTTTTGTTGATCTTGAATATTGAAATCTTCCCATGTAACCAAACATGTCCATGTACTGTAGCAGACACAAATTTTACAGTGATCATTTTCTTACGGTCACCTCTGTAAACTTTATTATATTTTTCTGGGTGTCCAAAACATACATACTTTGCTCTCCCATTTAACAGGTCAAACAGCTGTCCACAATAAATTTCATAGAAACTGATCCATAATCCCAATCCTTTGCCATGAGTTTCATTATGCAATTTTGTGAATATTTCACTGGCTGCCAGGATGTAGATTCCCTGTACTTCCTCATTTCCCAGCATGGTGAAGGTTTTTCCACTTCCAGTGCAGCCATAAGCAAAACAAGTAGCCTTACCCCTGAAATTAGATATTCAAAATCTATTGGCCAAGGGACAAAGAATACATGTACAAGGGTTGTAGGAAGTGATGTATTTAGGAGGGAGAGAAAGAGCAAAAAATAAAAAAGAAGAATTATATTAATAAAGAAATATTAACAGGATGGCTAAATTAGGGATTAAAGGAAAAGGGTGAAGAAAAGAGGGAAGGAAGGAAAGGAGAAAGAAAGTCAGTTTGGTTGGTTGTTATATCTGATGGCATTTTAATAAACACTGTTGCACAATGTAGCGAGAACAAAAGTTCTCCAAACTTATTAGAGAAAAATGTTCACATTTTTAATGATGCCTGATCTTGGGCTGGTTACAAACTGGAAAAACAGTGAGAAAGTTTGGTGACATGATTGCTGTGACCTCAGCATCACCACCAGAAGTTCACTACTACACTAGGTAAATCTTAAAGGAATAATGTAGTAACTAACTAAAGGCAGGAGGAAGGAAAGAAGAAAAAGTGATTGAAAGCCAAAGGGAGTTGTTAGGAGTAAGTACGACGAGAGGTAGAGGAGAGCGGTGTCAGGTAGGTAGATGGTAGTCAGGGTTCAAACAAAAAATTACTACCATTTTTCAAGGACTTTTTAAGGACCACATTAGATTTTCAAGGACCACCTACTAACGTACATCCCCAGTCTATTCTAATAAGGCTTTAAGGCTTGAATTGTTTGCTTCACCAACTTCTCTACATTTGTCAGTTCACTTGTCTTAAATTGATAGCTAATTATTACATAAAACATTGACCACTTTGTGTAAATAACCTTTAAATTCTCTGACCTACGATTCATATTCTGTCTCAGACAACCAAAATGCAGCAAAAAAACACTTTCCAGGCCACTACATTCAAAGTTAAAGAAAATTCAAGGACGTCTCAAGGATTTGCATAGAAATTTATGGACTTTTCAAGGAAAAATAGAATTCACTGACTTTTCAAGGACTTCCCCTAAACTTCAAGGACTTTTCAAGACTGTGTGAACCCTGTGGCTGAGAAGAAGGAAAGCATATTTAAACACTGAATGTAAGTGGGATAAAGAAGGGAGCAAGGTTGGTGAAGTCTGATAGAAGAACATTAGGTATTTTAAGTCATTAGAAAGGAGGTGGAAAGAAGGGAGGTAAGGCAGGTACTCTTGGAGATACATGTACAATAACAAAGGTGGAAAATGTAAACAAGGTTTGTGTAGAAGAGGAAATTCAGAGATCAGGTGAGTGCAGGAGGAAAAAAAGAGGCCGAATAATGGAATGGGCTGGTAAGATATTAATCCTTTAGGCCCCTAACTCCACATAGAAATTCTATAGACTGATCTCCATACATTTCCACAAAGAACTAGTAGACTGAATTTCAATGAAAACATTTTCTCTTTGGTGATTATTTTGTTAGTTCTCAAAACCTTTTCTCTTGGTTTAAATGAATTGAAATTAACAAGAGAAAATTGATTTTGGTCACTTTGGGGACTTAAAGGATTAGCCATCAATACAGACATGAGTAACTCTTTTGTTAGGGGCCTTCTACAAGTATGGGAGGTGACACTGTTTTCTTATTTATGATGTACTTGAAAATAATGTCAAATTAAAAACCTGTTAAAAACTGTCTTGATGAGTGGCTGAGCAGTTCTTTGAAAAACATCTTTGTTGCTGCAATGTTCATCAAAAGCCTCATCAAATACAAACTGATACTAGAAAACAAAGAACAACAGGAATTAAAATGTGGAAGATTGGTCAACTAGAAGTGACTATAAGTAACTAAGAGTATCAAAACAAGCAACAAGTCTGCCAGCAACATTCCATTTTCAATATTGCAACCAAGAGCACAAGCAATTATAATCTAGATATTTCAATATGGCTTAGACGGATGTCTTGTACACAGAAGACCTACAACACTTGTAAACAAAGGTGTAGGTTCCACTCAATACTATACAGTTCATGACAGAGGTATTTGAATGGCCCTGTTTCAGTCTAAATTTGTTCAAGAACACTGTATCACTCCTATCAGCAAATCTTTGTGGATTCTCAATCCTCACCCTCCCCTTCCAAGAGGCTGTTTACTGCTGTAGGGAGTATCAAGTCAGGTAGTTTAGGTAATTATCATGGATACAGATGTGTTTAGACTGCCCCAGGCCTTTCCTAGCTCACTTCTTAAGGCAACAGTTCCCATGCTTATAAAACTGGCAAAGAGTTTAATCATTCCATTGTTATCTGAAGGGCATTGTACCTTTTGAGTATACTTTGTTAGGTCCACTGCAAGTTTTGGTGCTGTAAGCACAACTGTATTCTTATCAGTCACCATGACTACATCTTCCTCATTGCCCATCAACTCAGTTTTGCTTAGGGGTCGCTTACGAACACACACTTGTATTCTTGATGGACCCAAATCTGATCTTGAATGGACTCTTTTGATTGGTGATTGCTTGGGTTTATAACTAGGAACACCATAGTTGTAAAATCCTGCAGCATACTCTGTTGATCTGAGACATGATTAAATCGGATTAGTATGGTCGGACAAGCAACATCCACTGCAAAATTCTTCCCATTTGGTTTTAAAGAGCTTAACTTACAACATTTTTACCTTGACATAGTGGATGGCCTTGAAGAACTTGCACAAGAATTGTCTTTTGTTTTTGATTTTATCTTGACGGCTACTGGGCTTCTTTCTGTAGCCTCTCGTGGTCTCTTTGCACCTGTCTTCTTGTCTAAAATATAAATAATTTATATAAATAAATACTGTTACCATGCTATAAACAATAGGAACAATTTAGATTTGGAATTAAGGTAATTCCCTTGAAAAGGATGTACTATCCAGATTTTTTTCAAACTTGGCACAATTGTCAGCCATATGTAGGACATTCAAAAACTGCGATAAAAGGTTGGGGTCACTGTGCTTGTTTTCGCCTTGTGTGCCCAGAATTCTGAGTGTTTTTTCCTTGTTGCTTGCAAAAATGTTCAAAGCTTGAACACCTGTCAAAAAATCTTACCATAAAGCAAAAACTATGAATTTTACTAAAACCTAAGAACCGTTGGTTTGTCTGGGCCATAATGTTTCAGTACAATGGCTTAAAATTACCTGATCTTGAAAAAATGGAGAGAAACAGACAGTTTAACATTATTTCATACTTCTCTGTGGCCCTAAATGTGGAGTTTAACATAATTCATATCTTAAAATTTACACATGCAACTTCTGCTATCCAGGTTTTTTTTCCCTTAAGATTTATTTTTTGTGTAGCCATAATGAGTGAAAAACACAAACAAAACAGGGGAGTCACCAATCTTGTTTCATTGCAAAAAGACAACAAAGGGACAATTTTGGCTTCAAATGATAATTTTGCCTGAAGGGATTGGGAAGGATAACACCATTTTAGCCGGATATATTTATCAATATCGCTATTAAAAGCACTTGGACTAGAAAAGGAGCCTTTGTTTCCTCTTTTTTTATCAAAGACTGGACCCGGGAGATGGTGAAATCGAGCCAAAGACAACCAGTGAAAATTACCGTATTTATTCGAATAAGCGCCCAACCTCAAATTAGCACCCACCTAGAATAAGCGCCCATCCTAAAGGCCAAATCCCAATCCCAATCCCTCCTCCCAATCAGACTCAAATAAGCGCTCACCCCCACCCCACCCACTTGAGTGAATAAATTCTAATTAGAGACTTCCCCGAGGACGGAGTTTTCTTCAGAATATACTACAGAAACCTTGCTTTGTTACTTCTTCGCGTTTTGTTATTAGTGTTTATTGTTTTGTTGCAAAATAAACATACTACACTTGCTGAAAATGGTGAAAATTTAACAAGCGCCCAGCCTTGAATAAGCGCTCACCTCGAATAAGCGCCCACTCTCAAGGTCCAAAAATTCAATAAGCGCCCAGGGTGGTTAATCGAATACGGTACCACCACCTTTGAAGTTGCAATATTATGTGCGGTAGTGCAAAACAAGGGAATTACCCTAAGGAGATCTTGTAGCATTGCAACTTTTCAATGCAATATTATTTGAATCAGTTTCAGCTACCCTCCCCGATGAGACATCCCATTTAATACCCCCCCGCCACTACCACCCCCAACCTCCTCCACTGCCATAAAGGAAGAAACAGGTAATCCTGAACAGGTTACTGAGTTGGGACAAACAACTACTTTTGCCTGAAGGGGGTGTCTGCCAGAGTTGTAGCTAAAGTGGGGTCAGGGGATTTCCCCCAGCTGCTATATGCAAAAACCCGACGACTTCCGCAGGAAAAAAGGGAAAATAGAGCCAAAAGAATTTCCTAGATGTTCAATTTCCTAGCAACTAACTGCATACACCTGGCAAGTTGAAATCTTATGGACAGCCATGGCCTTCACTTTGGTTTTACTTCTTTCAGTGTGAGGGTGAACATCATATTTATCCCTTAATGATAGGTGGGGTGCTGGTTTTAAATGGAATGGAACTCCCCTCTGCTCATGCATTTTGTTTGTTCCAATATTTATATTATACCTTTCTTATTCTCCGCCGCTGGCCCCTCCATCGGTACCAAACGTTCATTCTTCGTTCCATTATGTAACAGCCCTCTCTGGGAAGAGGACACCTGCATTGTCTTTATCGTCTGAATCAAGTAGAAAAGGTTCTGTCGGTCCGCCATTGAGGAAATACCCAAGGCAGGATAATCTTGCATTGTAAGCGACAGCAAACTATCAACGTCCAAAATACCACGTGCAGTAAACTTGCCATGGTACTTTTCTAATGAAACTTGCTGAAGACACTCGTATAAAGTCAAATTCAGCTTACTCATCACGATGTCTGGACGCTACGCCGCCCGAGCTGAAAAAACATCAGCTTAATGTAGCGGCTTCTGTCTGTTTGGTGTTTCGCATCAACCGTATCTCCATCGAAGTTTTTAGCTGTGGTCTCACAGATTAAAGCAAAGTAGCAGTAATTAATTAAGAGAAATTCCCATTTTGCAGCCAATATCCGTCCGTCTCCAAGTAAACAACACCAACTTTTTTTCCCGCTCACCTATCCAGGTCGCCATTTTGTTTTTTCACAACCCATTACCGCTGACCAGTTATAAATGACGACTCTCAAAACAACCCTCCCTAGTCCCCCGGAAAGAGACAAGCGACGACCGGAAATACGTCTGCTGTTCGCAGGCTACCGGAAAGATAAATGCCAGTGAAAATATAACTGGAAAAGTACCTTTTCAATGGTTATCTATTACACCAAATGAAAAATGAACTCAGTGCTTCATTGTAGACGTGTCCTATTACAACTAACCAAAAAAGCTGAACGGGCGCTGCCACAAGGGTTAAAAAATCAGGTCAATCGTCAGGGTAGTTTTTTTTTCGCTAACTACAAAAGCCGCAAATCTGTGAAGTCTTTCTTGTAGCGTATAGGACGACGACAATTCCCCTGGGGCCTCTGTGTCCACAGAAACACTCACAGGATACGCCCTAAAGTAGGCCTTTCCAGATTCTGCTCGGCAACTTTTTTGTTAGAGAGCAACTTCTAGCAACTTTTCGGAAAACTAGCACTTTTTTGGTAACTTTTGGGCTATTTTGAACCAAAATGCTGAATAACCCCTTTTTTTAAATAAACTAGTTAAAATTCCCTTGGTTAAAATTCTAAACATCGTTCTAGTAAAACTATTTTTTTAAATTTTTTTTATTGTATTTTTTTTATTATCATTTAAAAAAAAAAAATTCGTTGCCCCGGGCGAGCATGGTTTCTCCTTCTTCCACGTGTAAATGTTCACTGGAAGTGTAAGTGTGCTGCTCACTAGTACATCGTTAAAAATTAAATTAAAAAATAAAAGAAAATAAAATTAGACATGCTGTCTTAAAAATATTCGAGCGACTTTTTGGTATATTTCTTAGCAACTTTTTAGCTTTTTCGGAGCAGAATCTGGAAAGGCCTACCCTAAAGGACAGGCCCCTGACCCTTCCTATATGACAGGCCTGCACGCGCAAGCGTATAGTCAGCAGAATAAACTGGGATTGGCAAGTAATCGGCTCCTGGGATTGGCTGATGAAAGCGCGCGCCGCCTTCCCTCGAAGATTTCGTCATAATGCAAACCGATTTCTCGATCACACGAACGGTTTTGACTGGTGGAACAAGGCTCACGTTGACTTAAGTTCCCATTTTGTTCAGCTGACAGTAGAAGAAGTCGAAGAAGACAGAAAGCAAACTCGGAGAAGGTTAGTGGAGCGTAATGTTATCTACTCCATCAGAAAAGACTTAGTCATTAGGAGAAATGTCTGTACCGCTTTCTCACTAGCAGTTCTATGTACTTGAACATACTAGATGAGATGATTTAATTCTCATATCCATGTCTTCTTGGTAAAGCCAGATGATACGCGGTTTAACGTCAAATGCAACGTCCTTTATTTGTGATCAACAAATATTTCACCGAATCTTGTCACGTTAAACCATGAAACAACATGTTTAACTTTGAGACAAAGGAGATGTCCGCTCAACAAGTCGCCGCTTGCTGAAGGGCGACAGTCTTGACAAAGGCTGAAGATGTTTTCTTTCGTACAAGCTGTACCTTTGCACAGTCATCGTTCGCAGTTTGTTTCGCAACAAAGACAAATATGACCTGACCAGCATAACGCATGCCAACACTAAAAAGCGCAAAAAACCCGCAACAGATAACATATAATATTATGGCCACTGAAGAGGAAAAAATTAAAAACATGTAAAATGGGAGTAAAAAAACTGTTTTAATATTTAATAATACATGTACACACCAATTCAACACTACACATGATAAAATACCATTAATTCATCTCGCAAGTTCTCTTCGAATGGCTACACCATTAAAATATGTACACAAGAGATGTGGAAGCTATTTTTGCGGCACAAACTAAGAGAATGCAAAAATAAAGCCGACAGAGCAATTATTGAAGTCATTTGTTTCTACCTGCTAAGAACAATCCATTTTTGGCTTCGTGTAGTCGTGTGCGAGAACAAGACAAATCCTAAACAAACAGATTTATACAACGTGTGGAATAACTTTATACATCGTGAGTATTTCTCGATACGCGTGCATAAGATATTTTTGTTTTATCATCTTTTTTTGAAGCGGATGCAACAACAGTCATTCAGTTCTTGGCCGAAGGTTCCCTAACAAGACTTAAAAGCTTCTCCATCTTCGCCATTTCGTTTTCGGGTCCTTTAGCTTTTTCCTGAAACAGAGAAAAACGTTACACATCAGTCCCGCGTATCGCGCACTATTGTTTCATGTCTTGCCGAAGAATTTCTAGAAATCAAAACAGTGGGCTGAAGACGGGCTAAACAAAAATGATGCTAAAGAGAGGTGGGTGTGATATGAAACATTGCTACACTGGAATATCGGTTGGAAGCAAATGAAATACTTGACCTCAACAGCTAACCATGCATGATTGGTTGAAAAAGATTGCTTTCGGGAAACAAAAAAATGGTTAGGTTAACAATACTGTTATTCAGTGTAAATGACGAAGAAAGGAAACATGAAATAAAATGCCAGTGAGAAACAAGGCGACATAAAATAACGCAGTTTCGCGCTTGAAAAAGTTAAGTTAAACGTTAACTTAAAAAGTGTACGGGATTAAAAGAAGAGTTCGTCTTTGTTAAAACAAGAACCCCATAATGGGGGGTTTATTGGTCTGCCGACTGCGCGTTTTTAACCGGGGCTGTATGGGGAAGTTAGCCTTTTGGAAGAAGAGACGATTGGGATTATTTTCGAAATGACCCGTCCCCTCCCCACAAAAATCGGCCCTATTGAAGGGGGAGTGGGACACGCAAGGAGTTCCGTCCGCTATTTTGTCTTTTTTCGACATACATGGAAGGCATTGCTTGAATGGGCACTGCCCTCACGGGCAGCCCAATAATAAGGAGCTGTAAGCTGTTCCAGTACTAAATCGCACTCAGGTAAAGTAGGAACAAATAAGTATGATGTATCAAGAGTATGATCCGAAGCATTATTGGTGTGAAGCCCATAACTTTTAGGATTCATTTCTGTTAGCTTAGACTGAAAACGTAAAGCCGTTACGCAGTATTAGAGAGTATTTTTTAAAGGCCATTAAAGAATCTATTAGAGCAATAGGCAGAAAAGTTGATAGAGATCAAGTTTACTATGACCACAGAGGTAACCGGTCAAGGAGCCCGAAAGTCATCGCGCCCGAAGTCATGTCGCCCGAAACCAGAGTTGGGTCGCCAAAATTTATAGTCATGTCGCCCGAAATGACTTCGGGCGACGTGACTTACGGCCAGATGACTTTCGGGCGATTTGACCATAAACCACCAAAGAAGTTCCATACAGGAGAGAAGAGTATGGGAGGCGGTGAACAGGGTTCTTCATCAGAGTCAGCAGCTTGTGAGAGAACAAGAAGAGGAATCTCCTCCTTAAAGTGAGAATGAAGGATCAAGAACATGAGTGAGTGATTGAAGACATTAGTATGATTACATGCATAGCATTAAAGTAGACAAAAAACAAATAATTCAAGTATCTTCCACTGGGTAATATTAAGCATGCGTTAGGGCATGAGGACAAGATGAGTCAAGTTTTATTGTGTATTGTGTTAGGAAGCAACAAGGCTGAGCCGAGTAGACGGCGCGTCCCACGAGTAATCCAGAGGTCCCGGTTTGAGTGCCAACCCAAACTCTAGCTTGACTTGTTCTGGAAGTCCTAAGTTAAACTCCTTGGCCATGCTGATACTTATTCACACAGTTTGCCTCCTGTCAGTTGGTATTCTTAATCACAATATTTTCGTGATATAAATTATTAATTTGTAAATGCTCCTCTTTAATACTGAACGAAACTTGAACTTGAATATACGGACACTAAAAGGGAACACTATTATTCGAATCTATTTGCAACAAAGGCATACCTTGGGCTGTGTCGCTTTCCTTAGATTCGGTGATAACTTCAAAGATGTCGCGTGCCCCCTGCAGAACAAGAAGAGTTATTATATTATTATTTATAAATAACTAAGATAGTACGCCCGGTCTGATTGGTTAAAAACCTATGGTTTATTGTGACTCGCAAAGCTTGTAAATCACTCGCCTTCGGCTCGTGATTTACAAGCTTTTCTCGTGTTCTCCCAACATCCCGCGTGGGTTATCACGCCGGTAAACCCATAGAAGTGTGGTCTACTGCTTAAATATTTAACAACGAATAAGATAATAACAAAGTTAGATTAAGATACAAAAGAAAATGTGTTTTCTTCGTTGTATAATTATGCACCTCCATATACTGTCGACTCTCTCTTAATGGACACCTCTATGAGACAGACAGCTAGGTAACAAGGGACACCTTGAGTTGGTCCCAGCTGCCTTTTTTCGCCCCATGTAAAGACAGTCTCGGATTCTGGATTCTGGATTCCACCTCGTGGATTCCGGATTCCAGGTACTGGGTCCCGATTGTTTTGTGAGTGGAGCTTGGATTCTGGATTCCAAAGGCTAGAATTCCGCATTCCACGAGCAAAAACTACATGGGCTGGCTTTTCTTTACTCCCTTTGTTTGACTCTCTATAAGACGGACATTACTCTAAGACGGACACTTATTGCCGATCCCAAAAGTTTCCGTATTACAGAGAGTTGACAGAATAACATACTCACAATTAAAAATCGGTTTGTTTGCAAGATGTATTAGTTTATACAGTAGAATAAAGAGCAATCTCAAATTTACACGTTTGGTTCACAAACAATATCCCCAGAAACAAAATTACCTGTCGTCTCCCACAATAAGTACTGGGTATTCAGGGTTAAAAGCGAGATGAGTAAGCTTTGTTCTTTTCTTGTTAGCCACTGTTGATAAATCAAGTTATACAAATTAGCTACTTCCAAAAGATTAGATTAGAAGTAAACACAATTAAATATAATCGAAGATAAAACTGAACCACAATATATTCACTGAGCAGCAACTCTCTGTTGAACAACAACAAGCCAGCGGCAAGTTACATCACAGTTAATATAACTGTACGCGTAAACTATGAGCATGTCATGAAGGGCGGCAAACATCAAAGATAAAAACAACGGTGCTGCAGCGTTTTGTTGGAAGCTCCCTGACGGAGCACAATCCTTTGATGTTTGTCCACAAACTGTGACTGAATAAATTAATGCGACACTTTTATTGGTCAATAAGTTAGAAAATGATAGGAACGGTATTGAACGTTGAGCACCGTCCAACCTGCGATCAGGCGGTCCTGTTAGGTTCCAAAAAAACATTTAAAAGGAGTCTGACGAGCTTTTTAACCATTCCACTCTATTAACTACGCTATAAGGAGGGACGCCCAGCCTGGCTAGTTAGAAGTAATTGAAATCACCATTTACAATGGTCTATTACAATAAATAGAAGCCAATTTTTAGGACTAGCCCCAAGTAAAGTTGGATCAATTTAGGTTTTGGGGAAACTGCCCACCTACCCCTCCCCAAAGTCAACATTAACACTTACTTCTCACTTAGAGCAAAATGTTGGCTTAGGGGAGGGGTAGGTGGGCAGTTTCCCAGAAACTTAAGTTGATCCGTAAAGTTAATAATATCCAGGATTCCAGATTGCTTGTCAGTGGAGCTTGGATTCCTTCAGATTCCAATCTTAAGCAGGATTTCGGGTTCCTTGAGCTGAATCCGGATTCCAAGGGCCTGGATTCCTGATTTTCCTTGATTCCGGAATCCGGATTGCCTTATCTGGGGCGATAAGACACTAAACCCACGTTCTTACCTGACTGTTCGCACAATGGTTCGTACTTGTTGACATTCAGATCATACACATAAACCTGCACAAGAGAAAAATGTGTTTAAACCTGAGTGTTCCACTAAATTAAGATAATGCTATGGTTTGTATTTGGCTAGTCAGTCTAACATTTGAGTCTATCGAAATCCTTTGATGTGAATATTTAGATGAAACCTTATCAACAGTGCCTCAGAATGGAAGAATTTACTTTCCAGTAACTTAAGCACTATATCTGCATTTTTTCCCATTGAGTTTAAGTTAAGTCCCTTCCGGGAGTAAAAGGGTTGCATCAAACTCTGGATAAAACTTATACTCATGTATCAACACAACCACTGCTTTTTAACTGGGTGAGTGCAAGTGTTGTTTGTATTTGTCTCTATTGACATATCATGAAGACAATCGTTCGCTTAAGGTCACTACTATGTTTTGTACTGCTCAACTCTACTGTGCATCATTAATGCTACGAACCATTTTGTTCTAGAAGAATGAAATCTTACAAGCAAAGCAAGAGCCAGACCTTTTCCGAGGAAATAATTTTCAAACAACAACTTTAGCCTGTCAAGTTTAAAGTCAAAACGCTAAAACGAGTTCTGTAAGAAAGAGGGATTCGATGTGAAGCCTAGGTATTAGATCGGAGCTAGTTTTGTGAAAAAAAGCTGTTCTAATAGGCGATTTGCACGATGTCGTCTTTTGAGTTTTGACTACTACTACCAGAATCCTCCAGAGATCTTCTTTTTTTGCACAAATAAGGGCTTTTGTTATTTGAACCTCGCTGGGATTATAAAATTTGAAAAGAAACACGAAGTGGATTCAGGTAGTAGTGGTAAAATAACACCATCACACAGGGGCCTTTTGTCATTTGAACTTAATTTTATGTATATGATTCTGTAAGAACTTTAACGGGTGGACTAGCGAGTTTCCAGTCCCTTCCACCTACATATCTACTTCTTTTATAAACTTCACTTACCTGTACAAATGGAAATGGATTAAATTAAGCGAAATGAAAATGAAATATGGATGCCGCTTACCCGGCCATCAGTAGTGCAGGCTGCAAACACCGTGCTGGCGTAAGGTGCCCAGGCCACATCACCAACAGAGTTGTTCAGGTCAAACGTAAACATGGGCTCACTAGAAAATAAAAACCACGAGTTTGAAATTAATAACGTGAGCTCCATCATTTACCTTCGGCTAAGAGTACAAAACACAGTCAACTGGATTGGTACGGGCAAGAGTTGGTACCACAATCTTACGCTACAATCCGGCCCCCGCAGGCGGGACCAACTCTCGGGATCTCATTGCGGAGAATGAGTTGCCTTTACCCTGACGTTAGACAATCTAGTCTCCTCGGATAAGTACGAAAAACTTCAGGCGCCGTCTCAGAGCACTTTCACTAGACTTGCCTCAAGTTGATATCGAGAGCAGCAGAAACCGGAAACGGGCTTTGAGAAAGTTTACGCTTTCACTGAATAACGTGACTCTCAATGCCGTTCGAAAGAGAAAGGGACGTAGCAATAGAGACGAGGATATCAACTTGGACACAGGTCCTCCTTCATCTCCTGTTACCATGGCGAATTCAATAATCAATAAACAAACTCTCTCAAACTTCAGGTAATCATTAAACGAACTGTTTTAGGAACGTGACCTATGAAGAAATTTCGTTCGTATAGTGACATGATACGACAGAAAATTTTTTTCAAACAATTAAAATTTAGGCCTAAACTGTGCAATACAACGCAACTGTTTGTTTGCTCAGTAAACTCTTTGCTCTGACTCTTTAGTGACAAGGTTTTGACATTCAATATATAGAAAGATTCTGGCTACACTTTCAGACATGTATAAACACGTACAGGTAATTGTGATCCCAGATTTTCACAGTCCAATCAGCACTACATGAAATGAAGATTTTAGGATGAAAGTGATTCCACTTGACTGAGTAAACCGCCATATGATGTGCCTGCAAGGAAAGGAAAAACAGATATAAACTAAAGTATGTGTTAGCTCCTTTGTTGTCCAAACCCTCAGCTGCAACAAATTGAAGCTTTTCCCGTCGGTTGGTGGGGGGTGGGGGGGGGGGGGGGACCGTGTAAGTGCAGCTCCCGCGCAGGCTAAGTACATCATCGAGTACTGTATTTGGATAATCTTTCCGCGTAGATATAAGGCCAGTAACTCCACGCAATAAGTTTGTGCTCGTTTCAACTGTCCGCCAGAAGACCAGAAATGACTCGTCACCTTTCCGCAAAAATCGGTCCCATTGAAGCGGGTATAGGACACGCAAAGCCTTCTGAGAGCTCCGTCCGCCATTTTGTCTTTTATGACATAGACGCGGCTCATTTCTTGATTGAGCGTTGCTCTCGCGGGCAGCCCGTTAAAAAAAATGATCGATCCCACTAGTGTGACTCTCCATACATCAGGTGGGGAGAACCACGGTCACAGCGAGACAGCCTCGGCTGGAGACCAAGCCTATAGGCCGTGTGGAACTCTTGGAACAGCAAACAAGATTGGGCAAGAAAACAAGTGTAAATAAACACCAGAGATTACAGTTGAAGAGTCTGGACATTACTACAAAGCAGTAAGCAATGACACTTACATCGTAAGTTTCGAGAAACTGGCTTGAATACGTTTTTGAACATTTGTGAATCTTTCCTTCTTCTGTGCCTGGTAATGAAAGAAAAAGAAAGGACAATAAGGTGAACGAGTAGACAAGGAGAGATCTAATAAACGAACGAACGAACGAACGAACGAATGAATGAATAAAATAAATAACGATTTGGAGGTAGCACATCCACTCTGTGGTACTTCTTCTACCTGATTGCTGGTCGAATTGGAATTTGGAAATGTTGGTTTTTGAGGAGTACCCGGAGAAAAACCTCTCTTGGAGCAAGGGAGAGAACCAACAACAAACTCAACCCACATATGGCGTTGATACTGGGATTTGAAGCCCGGGCCAAACTGGTGGGAGGAGAGTGCGCCACCCATGATCCCCAAAATGGTAAAAATGTTGACACCGAACTAAAAATTAGAAACGACAGTTAGTAATACTAAGACAGGTCTGTATGAAAAAGGTATCAACTTACCGACCAGAAACATATAGTCCATTGTTTTATGAAAATCAAATGCAGTGCCACATCCTGTAAATACAAACAAGTTTACTTCTTAGTTTGTCATGCAGAATTTTAATTAAAGTGACGTAATCCGAAGGATTTCCAATTTGGTTGAGGCGACTGAGCATCTTTTAAAAGTGTGTTCCTGTTTTGACAATAAAGATGTGCATGAAAATTTCTTTGCGATTTTTAACGTGGCTAGAAAGATCAGGCTAGCAGAAAGCAGCGAGACAAGATAATACGAGGACAAAAATAGGGGGAGTCGCCTGGTGAGAGGGGTTTCCTCACACCCACCCCCAAAGAAGGCCAAAAAATTGTCCCTTGGCCCTTTGCCTTGCCCCCACACCCAAAAATCAAAGAACATGTAACCGAATTCAAGTAGCCTCGGTAAGGAATAAAAAGGGATTTCAGCTTTTGTCATCAATGAACCAACGAGCTGCGGCAATGATTTCGTAACAAACATTACGGCAGCTAAATTCACCTAAAGTAACAACTCAGCGGATAAAATACCTAGGCTTGGAAGTTGTGTATTTTCCCCTTCTTCAGTGGCATTCCCCTGCTTCAAGGTAATGATATCTGTATATCTTAACTCACTCTAAAGAAAAAGAAGCGACTCAAAGTTATTGGGAAATGTTTCCTTTGTGCGCCTTTTACGCAAACTGCAAATTTTCTCAGACTATCAGCTCAAAACGTCGGTAATTATCGAGCTTTATATTAAACGAAGAGAAACAAATCGAGGCCGAGAATCATTTTTACACTTTCTATTCCATTTGAGAATACGTTTCATTAAATCTTACGGCAATATCTTTAACATAGAACGTAAACTGAAACAGCTGTACGCGTGCAACTGGCGGCAAAAATAATGCCCACGTGGCAATCAACGCCAACTGGGCTACTGTGGAAAGTCATGCTTGGTTGAACCTCAGAATTCAAAGCGTACATTTATTTACCTTCACGATCGTCCATTGGGTTATTCTGCCATCAGAGGACACCGAGAAGAAATTCATGTTGTTATCAAGGTCATCTTTTTGCCATTTTACCTGGATCAAAACAGTGACAGAAGATTTAAAGAGTCAAGTGGAAAATGAGACACCTCTGAACTTTTACAAGTAAAAACCTTTTTTGTCATTCGGAGGTAATAAACAAACTCGACCGTGATTACTCGTTTTGATAAGTTGACCACCCTTAGCGGTTGTTCGTCTATTCTTGTCATTTCAAGAGCGTAGATAATAAGTCCGTGACTGTGAACTACAATACTTGTCAAAAATCCTGAAACACCTGTGTGTCGTTTTCCCTTCCCCAATGTTGATTTGGGTATTACAGTCGTCCCAGTGCCCCAAAATACGCGTGGCTCAACATTGCGGAAGGAGAGGGGCACATTTGACTGAGAACAATGGTGAGAAGAGTAAATGTAGGAAATTTTCGAG